TCCCCCCCCCCCCCCCCCCCCCCCCCCGATAGCTACTGTGTACGTATTATGATTTATGCCTACATTATATTCCTACAGCGCACGTTGCACTTAGTCGGCCCAAGGGTCTTCTTCCTGCATGTTCTTGAGCTCCGCCAGGCGCGCTGCCAGCTCGTCCGTTGTCCTATCGGCCGTGTCGAAGGTCCCCGCCGTGTTCCCGCTCCTCAAGTTGGTTATCGTGGGGTACCGGCTAACCGGAGCGTACACCCCCGTCTCGAAGAGACCTCCACTAAACGGCAGCACGTGTCTGTTGTGAACGGGACGAAGCGCAAGAGTGGGCGGTGTGACGGTTTGGAATGTACGAGGGACGGGGGGGTATATCATGCACCCCAGTGTCCCCAGTTCTTGAGGCAACATTGAGAACGTCGCCATTTGACCTCGGGCGGACGGGGAATAATCCGAAGATAGGACCGAAGACCACGCAGGAGGTATTGGTATGCGCCCCCTTGATGAGCAAGGTCCTCTCTATGTGTCCAACAATAGCGAGAGTGCTCTTGTGCCCAACGAAATCATGGGGGGAGCATGGGGTGTGTGCTCTCTAAGTGTGCAACAGTGGCAAACCTCAATATTATAGTGGCAAACCTATCTAACCTCCTCCCGACAACCTGCCACTATTTTACACGCGACACACATACATGCAGAATTCCCGACAACTTCAATCCTAGTAGTGTGAAGTTGTTTACCCATCTCGCCATCCGAAGGAAACGAACAGACAGCCTCCTCACCCGCAGTCGCCGAGCGACCCCTTGTTGTTCTGCCCGTCGCTACTGCCGTACCCGGGGAAGCATTCGCACGTCCCCGTGCTGTAGTCGCACAGGCCCTTGAAGCTGCACTCCGTCCACTCTTTCGTCCCCGTCTGGCGAGCAAGTCGCGTCGTATCGTTCGGGAATGGGGGGGCGGGCTGAATCGCGGCAACTATGCGCCTGATCTCGCGCCAGGAAGGAAGAGTCCGAAAGATGGAAACACACCCGTTCACGACGCAAGATGGGGCACAACAATATTGACGTCCCGCTGGGTGTTAAGGAGAAATCACCCACCGGCCCTCGCCACACGTCTATTCTTCTTCTGCCTCTCCGATGTCCTCTCTATTACTCACTCTCACTTTCCTCTCCCTCCCTACTCTTTTCGTGTCTCACCCCCGACCCCCCACCAATTGCCTTCTCGCTCACTTGAAACTCCGAAACGGCGATGGAATCGATGTTGGAGACGGAAGCGGAGACGAGAGGGACATCGCCCAGCTCTGTCAAGAACTCGATGGTGCACGTAGAAGCGACCGTGCTGTTGCAAAGGGCGCCGTTATCGCAGGAGACCGCGACGTCTGTGAGGGTGGACAAGGCCTCGAACGCTGCCTCGACCTCCGCCTAGGAGAACGCATCAAAAGTTCAGCAAACCGGTTAGTCATGCAGGAGAGGCGACACGCACTTCTTGGCTGCAGAGCCGAGTGAAAAACTGTGTGACGGTACCGCACGGCCCGGTTGCGTCCTCGCGTGTGTACCTCCTCCCAAGACACGCGCTGCGCAGCCACAAAGCGCCACCGCGTTTTCCTTCTGTCTCTATGCAGACTCTGTCATCTAGCGCCACCAACAACCACAGCCAGCCGCAGGTGCAACAATTAGCAGCAGCCGCTGCAGCAGTACACGCTTACGAGGTGTGGGAACTCAAGCCGTTCGGGCAGACTAAATTCCACGACATCAACTCTGGCACACTGTATCGAAGCGATCATGACGATGATCAACACGATAGGCCGACCCCCCCCGCCCGAGCGAACGGTTTTATGATGGGCGTCGTAGTAGCAACACTCAGGCCATCCGCCGCAACAAGAACCTCACGGCGACGAACGGAACGGTTACCTCCCACCCGACCGTCTCAAACCCTACGTACCTCTGTAGCGGACACCTCAAGAGCCGAAGTTTCCGCCTGCCGGAACATGAACACCACCTGCCCGTCATCGTCCGCATCGAAGCACTCCACTTCCTGGATTTCGTTGTCCTGCGAGAGCGGGTGCGAGTATTCGGAATATGTGTTGCGTGTTTAAGATCGTGTCGTGTTCGGCACGGTAGTCGCTATTTCCATATCCCGTCTGTTGCGAGGCACTGACGCTATCGACAAAATCGTACCTTGGAGACGGTATGTATACTATTTATTTCATTCGATTCGATACGAAATTCGAAATGTTACGGTGCAGAAATTGGATACGAAATTCGCCGCTCCACAGCTGAAGTACTGCCTCACCTGTGAGTGGGTGTCAGGGTCATCTCCGTACGGGCAGGTCCTCAACGAGCAGTCGTGCCCCTCGTAACCATCGTCGCAGAGGCAGCCCTGCACAGTTGAAGCGTATACATGATAGACTTAGGGGCGAGAAGGCTGCAGGTTAGGGTTTGGGTGGAGGACCAAAGACCATGTCTCTCTTCTTGCCGCCCCTCCCGGTCGTCGTCCTTGCTATCGGTTTCAAATTGTCGCTCCTTCGGTGTCCGAGGCAACGGCGTTTCTTTGACGACACATTTTAATTTCCTTTTCACACCACCTCCTAGGAGGAGTAACTGACGACGCGGTACGTCTGTTTTCGCCCCACAACCACATCAAGGGTGGAGATTCCGGCCAAATGACAGGAGCACTCGGATGTTCTTTCGCCGCTCCCCTCCACCCCCCTCCCGCCCCGGGGCGACCCCGAGAAAGTTTGAGGGGTCCGAGAGTGGGAGGACGTAGCCTTGTGCCCGGGCCCGGCAATCACCAAAAGGAAATTGTCAGCTACTTTTGCGTACTCATACCGCGATCCCACTTCAACCAATCGTTCCGGAGGAAACATCCCACGGTTGCAGTCAGCAGCGACCATCTCTGTACACCCGGCAGAAGCGTGTAGAGACCTACGTGCTATTCCGCCCTACCTGCACCATGTCGTGATCCCACGTCAAGGGGTCGTTGGGCGTGCCTCCGTAGGTGTAGTCCGTCGCGACGCCGTTCTCGTCGGTGGCCTCGGCGAGCATGGCCATCGTCACGCACTGTCCGTGGCCGTTACACGCCGTGTCCGAATCGTCGTAAGTCCCGCCGCCGGCTTCGCCCTCCACCGAAGACGCCGCCGCCGCCCCCGGGCAGGACATCCGGTCGCACGCGGATCCCTCGAACCCATCGACGCAGGCGCACTCCCCGGAGACTCGGTCGCAGGTCCCCATGTCGGAGCACTCCGTGCGTGTGAGGTGGGCCACGTTGTCGGCCGTCGGTCGCATGAACCAAGACTTGCCGAAGGGGCACGTCTTGAGGGAGCAGTCGGCGCCCTCCCACCCGTCGCTGCAGTCGCACGCGTAGGTCGGCGAGCCCGAGCACACGCCGTGGCCCGAGCAGGAGATTTCTCCCGGGCAGTGGGTCACGGCCGTGATGACGTAGCCGCAGTCCCCCCGGCGACCCTGGTGGGTGGTGCATGCAAGGAGGAGGGCTGTAGTTTTCTCCGGCGTGTTGTCGTTGCTACCATGGTGTAGTCCTCCACACTACCACATTTAAGTATCTACATCCAGTGGACAACCGGCCGTGCGGCTCTGTTATTCCCGTCTGGACTCATGGGTGGCCTGCTCAGCGTTGAGAGCTCACCCTCTGCCCATCATATATTTACCAACACCAAAGATACACTACCCGATCGAGGTGTAACGGAGAACACATGACAGGTGGCAAGATATCACACGATCGCGCACCCACCCCTTATTGTTGATTCCTCCCACAGAAATCACGAAAACCTACTTCTTGCCTTCTTCGGTAGTGAAAAAACGAAAGGCCCCTCCACGCAAATGGAAGCCCAGATAACGACCGCACAAACCATTTACCCCTTGGACGTCACCGTTCAATCCAACGAGGGGGCATGAGAGGCGATGTGTACGTCTACATGACAACTGCCTGCGGCACCAGCCTACCGTCGAGGGATGCGTACCGCCACACGTAGATAGCCTCCGCAAGCATCGCCGCATGCAGTACAGTGGTGACTCCGATACAAGAGGGTGGTGTGACAAAGGCCCTCGACCTTTCGTTGCCCCGTCTAACACCTGAAAAATAGGAGGGTATCCAACCATGCTATAGCGGGTCCAGTCCACGACAACCGATCTCAACCCCCTCTTATATGGTGCCCACTTTCATCGGAGCCACGACCGTGCTACAGCGTTGTACCTCTTCGTTGTAGCCGTTGCTGGTGTCGTACTCCGGCTCGCAAGTGCACACCCGGTCGTCGGTGTCGCACAAGCCCCGCCCGGAGCAGTCTACAGACTCCTTGGTGCCAGTGATGGCTTCCTCCACGGTAACGCTCGCCGATATCCCCGACGTGGAGTGGGTCAGCTTCGACACACCGGCAACCAGGAGCGGCAGGTCCCCGAAGTCCTGGAGGAACTCGATGGTCCACGAGTGCCCGGCGGACGTGCACGCCTGTGCGGAGTTTGACGCAGGAGGTGGTTTGATCGCAGCGGAGTCAAGGACAAACGGAGTACCAGGTATACACGGAAAGCATTTACATGCCGGTTCGTTTGTGACATTCTAAGAATGCGATTAGATGCAGGGCCGCACACTAGGCTACTGTATATGGGTCAACAAACTTCGCGGGAAGAGGGCGATCGATGCCCTCCCGTAGTCAATATCCGAGGTGCGCTTTGTTTACTCTGGACTCAAGCCGTCTCGTCTTCACCCGTTCACCGTTCTGGAACATCGACTCAGAGTGGTGAAATACTGGAGATTCCAAAACAACAGCAGGTTCGGTGAGCGTGCATGTTGTCCTCTTTTGACTTTTCACACACACCTGTGTGTCGGACGACGAGAACTGGACACTGACGGCGGTGTCGTAGGACCCGTAGAGGCTGGGGAGGTCCTGCAGGGCATCGACGACGTCCTCGGAGGAGGCCGAATACGCAATGGCGGCCGTGGTGAAGCCGCGAAAGATCAGAGTGAAGGAACCCCCCGTCGCCGCGCAAGTCAGTTCTTGCTGCTCGTTGTATTGCTCGCCGTCGGGGTCCTTTCGATTCCAGAACAGGGGGACAGAATTGCCGAGGGTCAATCATCAAGGGCACACGTTCACGACAACGGAAGTTGGAACGGCAGAGAGCAGCAGGCTTCTACTCAGTCGTGCACAGCGGTATTGCTGCTTTTGAAGTGGTTCGCTCTAAGGTTGAAAGAAGGCTAGTCTGGGCGAAAGCAGCGCCGACTGCGGGCTGACGAAATTCACGTGTGTTTGGTGCATGCAACAGAGGACACAGTTTTCGGGACTCCTGGACTTCCGAGCATATCCCTCGCTTGGAGATGAGTTACACTGACTGACAGCAAACTACAGCAGTATGCATACGTCGAGACGAAAAATATGAAGTTGCAACAACTTCGACTCGCCTCATCTGTCCCTGTCAGCGGATCATCCCCGACGGAACAGCTGCGAAGGCTGCACATCGGGCCAGAGTACCCCGCGTCGCAGTTGCACCCGTACATCATCTCCGCGTCCCAAACGTCTCCGTCGTACGCGTGCACCGTTCCTTCCCCAGGGTCCTGCACGGAAGCGAAGTACGCCATGCTTTGACAGCGCCCGTGGTTCATGCAGTTCTTGGGGCACGTTCTCCGCCCGCAAGCTTGTCCTTCGAAGCCGGTGTCGCACACGCAAACGCCTTCCAAGCGGTCGCAGTACCCCCTGTTGGAGCACTCCGCCGGAGCGTGGGCATCGTCCGTCCCCTTCGCTTTGTCAGACCAGGCCGGGCCAAGCGGGCATAGCATGAGGCTGCAGTCCGCCCCCGTCCACCCTGTGTTGCAGCTGCACTGTCGTGCGGAGGTGGAGCCGTCTTTCGAGGACTCACATGAACCGTGCCCGCTGCATAGGTTCGGCGAGCACGGCTGGGATGCCACCGTGCTTGCCCGCAAGCCGAGAAGTGTGACGACGACTGCGGCAGCCGTCCTCGCCGCTGGTTGGACCATGCTGGCGAAAAAAGCCTACCGTCGTCCGTACCCACGGCAACGGTTGGCTGTGTGCTCTCTTTGCTCTCGATGCGGAGACGCGGAGCGAAAGAAACGCGGAGGAATAGAGGCTTCTTCGTCGAGAACCAGAACTCTGTATAATTTTGTGACGGTTACACATTACGAAAAAAAAAAAAACGGTGTCAGGCGAAGCGATCTAGAAGCAATACATAGTGGACCCTTACAGCAGTCTATTGCTGCTGTAGCAACTTTGTAAACTCACTGTCCAACTCTACAAAGATCGAGTTTGAGCATGTCCGTATCCGCCGAGGTGTTGTTTCACATAGTCCACGTTTCGTTCCAGTGCAACTGCTTGGCTCTTGTGTGCTAGCTGCTGTCGCTACGCGGTTCCATTGATTGCCAAAAAATGAAGGCGCGACGTTGGGGTTCTATTCAGACTGCAGTGTTGATTATGATCATGTGTTGTAGTACGTGCCTTGTAGACAAGCCAAGGCGAGGCAGGAAGCGACATGGTACTGAACTGGTGGCAGCTGTTGGAGGACAAGCGGCACAAACACCAATTAATTTTGTTCCGCCAGGCGCCCTTTCGAACAACAACGTAGAAATTGATTCAAACACTCCAACCTTCCTTGCGGGCAAGGGGACTCAGGCCGCGCCTATCGAGTGTGTCCCTTTTAGGCAGTCTTTGAGACGTCGACGCCAAAAGTGCGCTTACCCACTTCACCTCATCCGAGCGATCAACTTCGATCAACACTCTTGTCTCGTGCGTGTCAGTGTTTTCCGTGTCCTCCCGCTGCATGCACGAAGGTGTGGACCTCACGTCCTCACAGTCCAATATTGTTCAAGTTGCGGCCTTGTTTTCTCCAGAATCAAGAAAGCGGTTTGCCATTCCGTTCCGTGAATTCGCACGGGGACAGCGCCCGAACACACAGCCAAAGCCTTGTTAAACACCAACAAAATTCCTCTACAAGGGGTCATTCAACACCCCCCCGCGTGTTCCCACACCCACCAGCGAACAATTTTGGCTATAACCCAAAACCGGCGCAAATATTCCCAAAACTACAACAACGCTGCCGTGTTTTCTTCGTACCGCCCTCCCCTTTCCGGACACACCAGCGGTACGGTGCGATTTCCCTCTCTCGTTTATAGAGGGGATTCTTCCAGCCCAAAACCTCCGCTCCTGCAATCTACGTCACGTAAGCCCCAGTTACGCTATGAATCGCGGAACGTCATGCACCTGTCGAAATTACACTCGTAGCACACACGACCATAATAGGCACCGCGAGAGAGAGAGCAGTCTACACCGGGAAGTCCCAGAAAGAAATCGCAAGTTTGCGCACGCGTTTTTTGTCCCACACCTCGCCTCTATTTTATCCTCCAAAAGTTGCCCCCTAATTCCGACAAGCTTGCACTCCACCCCACCCGTGGCTAAATAACTCTGTTCCGCGTATTTACCTCTTTCTCGCTCTCTCTCATGCCACCACCTGTCCCCTTCGAACCCGCCCAAAAAAAAATCACTTACAGGACTCGTTAATCGACTGCGCATGTACCATCTACCCACGACGCCCTGCAGCAAAACGACGCCTCTCCCGCTCTTTCCGAGCAATACCACCTCTCGAAATCGGTTATAGAAAAAAAGCATGGCTCTCGAAACTTCGCCGGCCGCATTTCGCCAAAGATTCTTCCTTGCCGGAGAAAAGCGAACAACAAGGAAACGTCAAGTACCGTAGGCGACACGTCTCTCGCACGCACACCCCTCTACCCCCACCTCTTGTACACTTCACATGACAGCGACAGATGCCGGGATTGGACAACGAACAGAAACAGCAGAAGCGACGAGGGCAAAACGCTGAACTACTGCTGCTTGTCCCTCCGTTTGCCCTGCCGCCGTTTGCTGTCTTTCATTCTTTCGTCCTGCCGAGGGCCTAGACCTTTACACCAGGTAGGTTAGGAACGGTCAACCTAACCTAGGAGATCTGGCCGCAGTCGGCGATCACGACAGGGGAGCTGGTCTTCCCGCTGGAAGAGCCCACGGCCTCGACCGCCTTCACCACATCCATGCCCTTGGTGACCTGTCGTGTGGCCCAACGATGACGATCGACGAAAAAAATAAATAAAATTGCGTGTCCGGGGTTGATTCTTAGGATGCATATGACGGACGCTTCTTCCTGCGGCAGAGCTACTCAAAACAGCAGAGTCCATTGGCATGGTTGGCGTAGATAGGTTGGTTTTGGGTTCCTGTGTTTTGGTAGCGAGGAGACGTGGATACACGTCTAACCCGAACAAGAGGGGGGGCCCGTGTGCATCAAAAGCGTTCACGAGCCACCCGGGGGGGGGGCGACATGCGCGAAGGTCGGGAACAAACATCAAGCAGGAGAAGCCTTACTGTGCCCCTGCTTTTCCCATTGTCGCCGACACCGCCAGACGTGCGACTGTAGGGGGGCACGTGTACGATACATCGCCTCAAATCACACTACAGGCTCTCCACATTCAGCCGCGTCCCGACGTTGGAGTGACCTCTGCCAACACTCTGCAATCAACTCGAACCACGAGCAAGGAGTTTGCTGCCTAGACCTTCGTGGCTACTGCTGTAGGGTTACCTTTCCGAAGACCACGTGCTTGCCGTCCAACCAGGAGGTCACCACGGTGCAGAGGAAGAACTGGGAGCCGTTCGTGTTGGCTCCGGCGTTTGCCTGCCAGGGGTCCCGCAGAGGGTATCACGGCAAAAAAGGGGGGGGGGGGGGGACGACCACCCACAAGGGACATACTACGAGAGTTGACATATGCGGCGAGGTCAACAAGACCTATTTACCTAGAATAGCCTGTCGGGAACAAGGCCCTCATACATATCAGGGGGGGGGCACCAAAGGTCGGCTGAATCAAGTGGCACACAGAAAATGATATGGTGCGTGACATTGCACACCAAGAAGGTACCGAAGTTTGGTGCACATGATGCTAAGGGGGGACACGAGGGGTGAAGGGTTGCAAGCCAAACAAGACGAGGAACGACGGGAAATGGTGAGACATGGGAGCCACTTTTTTCGCAGACGGCACGGGGAACGTGAACATGCTCATGTTCCGAAACAAAACCTGAAAGATACCAAACCGACGAACATGACGCAAAAACAAAGGTGTTTAGCTTCGTACGACGTCAAGCGGAAATCCCACCATGTCGCACACAATAAAAGCACCACCATACACATCCGAGGGCCGCAACTGCAACAACGCACCATCGAAAGCACCCCAGGCTCGGTGTGCTTGAGCTGGAAGTTCTCGTCAGCGAACTTCTCGCCGTAGATAGACTCGCCGCCTGTGTTGATTGTTGTCGTGTTCGTTGTAGCAAAAGCGGAAAAAACAAACGAGTTTCAACCAATTAGCACGCCGGTACTTGCAATCGAGTGGTGTTGCGGGCGAGTGGGACACGCACCGGTAGTACTGATGTACGACCATCATTTGTGGTGATCTATCCGGACTCCTTGACAGTGGTTGTGCTCACTCCATTTGTTGTTGGAAATGGTTCCTGTCGCCTTCGGCAAAAGCAAACTGTTACCCCAAAAACGGCGGCTGTATGCACCGGAGAACGTCCATCGTCCACCGTCCTCGATATACGAGCGAAAGTGTGCAAACTAATACTAGCTGTGTGGCCCGTTTCCCTGTCGCATGCTAGCGGTGATTTCAGACCCTCCTCTCGTCCCATCGTCCCGTTCCTTCGAAATCAAACCGCAGCCATTGTCAACAACAACTCTTGCTTCCTCTTCGTAAGGCCCACACTAGCCACTTCCGTTTCCTACACTTGCCGGTTCCGTTTCCGCGGGTGAAGTCGCCGCCCTGGCACATGAAGTCCGTGATCACGCGGTGGAAGGAGGAGCCCTTGAAGTGCAGGGGCTTCCCAGACCTGCCGGTGCCCTTCTCGCCGGTGCAGAGGCATCGGAAGTTCTCCGCCGTTCGCGGCACCACGTCCTGGCGGAGCTGCACAACGGTAACGAAAACAGGCACGGAAAAAGGTCATACTTAACGGAAGAACAAATATCTGTCGTTGATTTGTTTTGGCTTGCGGACCTTTCCGGTCCATTTTATTTCAATTTACCGTGTCTAGAGGAAGGTAGCCTGTGACCACGGGGAATCGACCGCGTCAAGTGTTTGCTGGTACAAAGAGGTATTGGATAGAGATATCAAACAGTTTTTGATGTCAAGACAACAACGACACCAACAAAACGGAATTCAGCCTGTGAGGACAAATCGAGCACCAAGAAAAAACGGAGGGCGATTGTGACGGTCATGAATTGAAGTATACAAAGGCGTGGCATGGCTTTGCGTTGCTATCGGCAGTTGTGGCGAATAACTCAACCAAGGGGTGTGTGTTTGGGTGGAGCTGTGTGAAACCGTGAAAGAAAATTGACACTTTAAAACGATGAAACCGTTCACGCGTAAACGGCGCTGTCTATGGTCCTGCTGCGGATGGAGAGCTGGATGTTGAAGTGGAGAAAACGTTCCGTCAACTCCACCCGGGTAGGTTATCATTACATCCTGTTCTAAGACGCTATGGACTCAAGCTAAGCCGCCCCACCCCGGTCAACTCTCCATATGAATCTCGCACACTGATGTATGGGGGGGGGGCGTATTCTTTATGGTTTGCACGCCTTGGCGGTTAGACCATTCACCACGCGTCCTCGAGAGGGACGGATCATTGTTTCCCACAGGGCCGATAACCCTTCCTACTTTGCCAAAGGTGGCTCAACAATGTTTTCCCTAGCTCAACTACCCTATCGATGTCACTTCCCGCCTTTTCAACCCACTTCCTGTGCCCCAGTACAGCTACCGTCTTTTCCTGGGTATATATCCTATGCCTCAAACATCTCCCTGTATCTTCCTTCTACCTTCCCAGCTCAGTCATGTACACTTCCCTCCCCTTTTCGTATTGCATACAACGGGCATTCAACAACTACATAACCCGGTCTTCGCACTCGGAGCCGCATTGACATATTGAACTCTTCTTCATGTCGATCTTTCTAAATCTTCGTCCATGTTCTCGAAGGCCAATGCCCCCGGTCCTGAATTTGAAACATGACTTTCAGCTTTGTCGCTGCAGCCATTGGTCCATGTAGGTACTCCTTGACTCCCTCTTCCTTCTTTCAAAATTCGGTACACATCTAGACCCTTCTTATCTTTCGGTTCTTTGGATAGATTCTGTCCTTCTCTCTCGGCAATATAGCAACAGACATGTTCTCCTTGAACCTCTCCGGTAGACCTTCCGTTTCTAGGAGACTGGGCACATGGGTGGGGGTTGAAAGAATTTCCGCGATACACTACTCAAGTGGGTTCGGATGCGCTTGGAATTCGAACGCCGAGTATACGCGCTTCTCTCGACAATAGCGCTTGCACAGCGCGTTCGTGACGTATAAAAAAACAAAGACGTCGAACATGCGATACCTTCGGCGACACCAAAGGGGTGAACCTTTAGTTTTCGAACGAAAACGAGACAAGTCACGTGCATCCACAAACAGGCATCCTCGCAAAGGTGAATAACGCGAAAAACAAGATTAGGAATAGGAGGATGCCCATGGTGCTGCGTGTGGGGGCGATGCAGACGCTACGGGTGGTCGAGGCGCATGGGGAGTTTCCCAAGGGCACGCACACATGATACCCCCCAACAAATCTCATGCAACGACGGCAGTCCATCAGGGGTACAGCAGTACTTCGATATCCGACAGCTGCGGAGAGTATCCAACGGTGCCAGAATATGGTTGCGACAAGTTCAACGTGAGACCAAAAAAACTCGATTTACGAAGTGATAGAGAACCCACAACGAGGAGAACGTAAGTAATTTGGAGGTGCGTCACGCCCATGCCGACACAGCTCGAAATCCGTCCGTGCTCGAAGAAACAACCAGCGTACATCGAACTTTGTCCGTTGGGTCACGGCAGTTGGCGTGCAATTTCAGAGCCACGTGGTACACTTAAAAAAAAAAACATGCGTGCCGAGCCAAAAAACGAGCGGGAAAGATCGACCCATGGGGCCAATGGCGGAAAACAATCTGCACCGAGTGATGCACGCACGGCTGATGATACAGGACGCACCGCCCGCCAAAGAAGGGGTTATGGGGGGATGTTTCGAAGCGGAATTGTGGGGTGGGATCTGGACCGCGACACACATGCACAACCTAGCAGGTTTGGCATCGACGCGCCCCGTCCGGCAGTTGGCAGCTGGTTGCTAGAGACAAAGATGGGCGATCCATTAGCCCTGTGAAGGGGCCGACACCGCGCAACACAAGCGACGAATCGCTTCTTGCGACGGCGTGCCGGTGCCGGACTACTCCCCACCCCCGTTACGCCAATCGCTCTGGCCATTCGTCTCGGAGGAGTGACTTTCTCGAGAAACCTCAACACCGGGCGGCATAAGATCCATCCTGGGCATGTGTTCCCGCCGCTTTTTCCGCCTCCTGTACTTGTACAAGAGCGCGGAGCTTCTCTTTGTCCCACTTACCGTCATCTCGATGCGTCCCGCGGTCTGCCCGCCGATGGTGATGTCGAAGAACACAACAGGGTTCGCCATGGTAGATGTCGGAAGGGAGGTGAGAGGCAGGAGGTTGAGAGAGAGTTGTGCGGTTGTGGATGTGTCAGTGTGTTGCATCTGTCCCAGATTCTTCACGTACGTCCCGCGGTGCTCGGGGAGGGGGGTGTACATCTGCGGAGTCCCTAAGGCCAGTCGTGAAGTGAAGCACGGACTTGCAGTAGCAGCAACTCTTCAGCAATCGGGTTTTACTGCAGGCTCGTGCGCTCTCCTGACTCTCTTTAGAAATATGTCGCCGTGCAAGTCGACGGCGTGCGTTGCACTGGCGGCGGTGAGCACTCTGATTGCGGGCGTCTCCGATGCGTTCGTAGTGCCGTCAGCTTCAGTGCTCGGCGCCTCGAGGTCCAACAGCCGAGCCCCGGGCAGCAGCAGCAGCAGCTCCCTGTCCATGGGCGCCGACGGGGGCACCACCCGAGGCAAGGATCTGGTCGTTGTAGGCTTCGCTGGTGCCTGCCGAGAGTTTTGAAGCTGTGTGAAATGGTCCTCTCGCACTTGTATTTGGAACGCATGTGCTGTTGATGGTGCGAGAGGGGAAATGCGACACATGTTTTGAGTCAGAAGTGTAGTTTTCAATCCCTACCTGTCCGGTGACGAGAGCGCGAACCGGCTCTATGCACTATACAATGTATACCTCCCACCACACGTTGTTAATACCAGACCACGAAAACGCCCTGCCGCAGCATAGATTGCCGGGGTTGCTGTTGTTGCTTTTGCGCCGCATTGTTTAGTCGAGGTCTAAAGCTCGGAAAATGCGTACATACAGCAGTCCGGTATACAGCCCCAACCCATGGAATGTATCAACGTCCAACATTCACTCCAACGCAGGCTGTATTGCTCCCCATGCAGGGAGGATGCCTCCCTCTACCTTCCGACACACATGATATGCCAGTGGCATTTTGTTGACGACATGGTCTCAGAGCCGGCCTTATGGGTCATTAACACTTCTCCTGTTGTGGAACAATCGGATGTTGGACTACTGGTGGGCCAGCTGTTGGGCCAGCAGCGGAGCGGGGGTCGTATATCCTGGGTGCCCCACCACCGAGCGACCGTGTACACAAATGGTAGCAGATAGGCATGTGTGTAGCACGTGTGTTTTGCCGTTGATACTTCGGAAGTAGATGCCACTTGCTAGGTGGAGGAACGCACACACATGACACGTGGACAAGCAAGGAACTTGAGCAGCAAGGTGTATATGACACACGAGTCGAATCCTTTTTGCGACCCACATATGTGTTACGCGTGTAGCCAAGCCGGAATTATTGTGTACAAGGGCGATCGACGGCGGTGATCGACGGAGCGACGGCGGCGCGATCGACGAAGGCGGCCCAAGGCCGCCCGATCGACCGGCCGACCGACCGACCCAACCCAACCTCGCCCATCACTACCCAACCCAACCCAACCCAACCCAACCCAACCCAACCCAACCCATCGGCGACGAACGACGAAGCGACGGCGGTGCGAGCTATGCGTGTATCCAAGCCGGAATTATTGTGTACAGCAGTTACCTATCAGGGCCGTTGTGTGTTTGCCGCTCCATTGTGGTAGCCTCTCCGCCTTCTGCGAGCGCTCGAGCGTCGCGTGACAACAAGATGGTTACACGTTAGTTTTCGTTGGTCTCGTGTTGAAACAGGGGACTTCGGGAAGCAGACGATCGCCACGCTTCTCGCCGGGGTGACGGCCGCGGCCAACTTCGAGTCAGCGAACGCTGCCAACAAGCTCCAAGTCAGCTCCACGGCATCGGTAAGAGAGTACAAGAGTAGCGGTAAACGCGTCTTCGGATGGCCTTTCCTTAGCATGGCGGTACTGCGCAAACTGTGTTTGGCCTGGTGAGGTGTTGGTTCGGTTTGCTGCTAAAGCTTCTTCCCTGTGTGGATCGCTTTTCCGTGTGGATCTCCGCATCTGCATGGGTGACATCGGCATCAGCTTTTGAGGGCAACGAGCGCAGCTTGCACCAGCGTAGTACATACCGTCATCGTTCCAGCACGAGGCAAATGCTTGGTACCGTCCGCGCTCTGCAGGGGTATGCTTTCTTAATCTAAAGAATCTCGGAGCTGTTTCTAAGCAGCTATGTAGTAGGTTCTAAACTTGTCTGTCCGTGGTGAACGTAGCTTCGGGATGTTGCAGCTCGGCTTGCAACGTCGCTCACTCACAAGTTGATACCAAGATTTTCCTGTGCCAGTGGGTATCTCTCGTGCTATGTCCCCCCGCTGGCTCCCCTGCTGCATCTTCCGTACCAAACAATCCCGTTGCTGTGTCGAAAGGCGAACGTCCTCGGCTCTTACGTAAGCGACAAGCCCTATTTTGACAGGAACAAATGTGCGGACGCGAGAATGCCCCCTGGCCCGTATCACCTTCTTCCTCCGACCCGCCCACCACACCACTGCTGTTGTTTTTGATGCGATGGTTGTTGCGAAATTTTCGCACCCTCTGGTGCTGCCACGAATGGACTGGTCTGGCGACACGCGTAGGGGTCTCGAGTCAACAAGGATCCGATCTCGTTGCTTCAGTGGGGCCTCCCGATAGACTGCAAGCCGGTGAGGAACGAGAGTAGATTCTACCAACACTGCAGTTTGGTACTGGTCTGGTCCGACGCTTGGCGGTCCTGGCGCTACGCCACACAACCGAACCACATGCAGCAGTAGACCCGAGAAAAAGGAAAAGCTTTTTACTTTTGACGGGAGCGGTCAAGAAGTCGTGCACTGTTTGTGGGTATCTCGTGGTGGCTGATTGGAAGGAATGGTGTGCCCGAGGTCTCTCTCGCAGGTTTGTTGAGGACGTTTTTTTGTCAACCTTCTGCTGCCGCATTTGCCGAGTGGTTGTCGCTTTTTGCTACACCGCGGTGAGCGTGTCTCCGACCCGTCCAGGCGGGCGCAGTATTGTAGGCGCTGATTGTTGCGGCGTACGCGGTACGTTTTCACGGAACTCCCCAACCCTCTAGCCGGCCTGCACAGCTTCTATCGATCTATCCGCGTGCTGGGTGTTTGCCCTCGCGACGGGGTGGGTGCCGTGGTTGTTGTCGTTTGTAAGGTGTCCAACTTCGTCCTTCTTGGGGACTACCCTGCAGATTTGGATCCGTCATGTCGCGGATATTGCCGTGGGCTTGTGGGGAGACCGCTATCGTTGTAAAAAGGGGACCTTGTTGCCCCTACAAGTTTTATTGCCTGTTGTGATTCGTGCCCCGCAACTTGGTTTACGGCGACAACAGGCTCGGCAGCTGCAGGAGGTGGTGGAGGCGGCTAAGCTGGATCTCTTCCAGAAGAACTGGTCCCGCGCCGTTTCCAACTGCTCCAAGGCAAAGTGAGCCCCGGTCGGTAGTTGATGAACCCATGTGCCCCCCCGTGGGATGCGCTTAACCGCACGTGCATTGCCTTCACCTGGCTGGAAGCAAGTTGGATGGTTGGCTAATCGCCAATCGAAACGCACAGAAATGGGAGGGGGGGGAGCTTGCGCTGCTGTTGTTTAGAGTCGTTCTTGCAGCCATGCGTTGCTTTATCCCCCTGCCGGAAACCTGCCATGCACGAAGCGTTGATGATTTGGCATGTTCGGTGCTGAGAAGTCAATTGGCCTTGTAGGACCTGCGCTGCTGTCGTCGCGTGTGCACGTGTCGCTTTTGTCTGTCGGCCTCCGGCGTCTACACTGTTGCCATGCTGCCTCTTCACAAGCTTGAACTTTCTGCTTCTGCGCACATTGTGCCTCCAAATGCCCCCGGTGTAGTTTCTGCCTCCACACATAGACGAAACAAAACACGCACACGCTCTCGCGCGCGTGCCTGAAGAAGTCACAATTCTCCACCGTAATAGCTCAGCGTTTCGGTGCTGCGAACGACGCTGCTATGTTTAGGTCTGCTATGTCGGGCAACAAAGCGGCGATCCTCAAAGCGGTGGGCTCGAGCAACGAGGCAGGGGCAACCAAGCTCATGGCGGACATCGACATGGGTCTTGGTGAGAACCACTTTCTAAGCTTATGCTTCCTAGCTTTGTTTTAATTGTCTTGGGAACGGTTCCAAGACGGGTCAGGCACGTTGCCTGGGAGGGAGGGAGGGAGGGAGGAATGGCCTGCGTCTTGTCCTCGTCCTTGACGACGATGCGCGTTCTGCCACTGTTCAAGTGCTGTTCCGTTGCCGCTTCTCCTGCCACCGTTCTTGTTGTTGCTGGCACTGCTGGCATTGCTGGTACTGCTGGTACTGCTGGTACTGCTGCTGGTAAATACTGCTGCTGCCGCCGATAGCCATCGTCGTTATTGCTGCGCTATGGCTTTGTTCTGCCGGTGCTGCTTGTGACGCCGTCCCCCGTTGCTGCTGGTGGTTTCTGCGACTCCCGTGTTTTTGTTGCTGTCGCTCCGTCCCAGGCGCTCTGCAGAGGATCGTCCAGGACGATGGAGCTGGGGTAGTCTTGGAGAAGGCTAAGCTAGACGAGGTAGGCCTGTTGCCATTATCCTCTTCGTCGCCGTCGCTGTTGTTGACGCTGGTTGAGCTGTTCTTCTCGTTGCCTCGGTATACACAGCAAATGTCTTCAAGAAGACCACGACGTGTGTAAAAGAACCGTGTTGGATCTCTGTTTTTTGCGAGTTGAGTTAACGGCGTACATGTGAGCGGTTTCTTGTGATGTGCTCATGCCCGCTGTCGGGTTCTTGCGTTTTCGGGTGGTCAAAGCCCATGGAATCCTTTAAATATCAACCCCCGCAAGGCAATAATATCGAATTACACCCGCATCTCTCTTGCATTTTTCTTGTTCGGTCTGCACCGATTCCGAGCTTGACGCCGTTCGTTCAAAATAACCATGTATTGTCCCCGACAGCGTTAGGACGGCTGTGTACAGTACGTACCACTCGCTCCGAAGTATCTACAAAGGGTTTGGAGTATTTTCATCTATGGATCACCGCAACCTCAAACTAGACGCGGGGCAGACGACAAGGTTTTCCCCACCGTAAACATGCTCACACAAAGACATCTTTCCTTCGTCTCGCCGTGCGGGTGAATCAGGCGTACCCGGTCCACGCAACCATCGTCAGCAACGTGGGCAACCTGGAGGCCATGATGGTCCCCCCCGACTACACCAAGAAGCTCGAGGCTAACATCCCGGGTGACTTCGACTCGCTGCCCCGCTTGCTTGGGAGGGCGTCGGTGAGCAAAATGATGAAGCGTGCGTACCGCACATAGGCGGTGTGCAGGGGTTGGGGGAGGATATGGAATGTCTCGCGTGTGGGTGGAAAGAGGAAAGGCGAAGAAGCCGGAACGTGGCAGTTAATTGTTTTATGGGTTTCATCGTGTGACTTGGCACGGATTTGGATTGTGGAGAGATAAGGGTCCACCGTGGAATGTGGGATAGCTTTCAGGAGGGCGGAAGCTTCAGGGCTTTGCCGTCAACGTTTCAACCTCGGTTAGCAAAGAAAGATTAGCAAAGAGAGGGGAGTACCTTTCTGGTAGAAGATAGCAAGCGACATACGGGTGTTTGATCTCAGGCCGGGAATGAATGAATGTGGACGAGTCGCCGCCGCCGCTGCTCCTTCAACGACCAAGATAGCAGTCTTGCTTTCATGATAGCAGTCTTGCGTCATGTATCACCCACTTAATTGTGATTTTCGTCGGCCAAGCAGTATGGCGAGTTAGGCTCCAGGCCGGCACATAACCGCACTATGGTCCCCCCACCCCCACCCCACTCCCCCCCGACTAAATAGTACTTCTGAGTGCTTTCACCCAACACCCGGGGACAGACAGACAGACACGACCGACAGGGGAACACACAAGAAAGAGTGCTTTTAACACGGCACGGGGAGAGCGGAACGCATGGTTGATCGACGGATAATACAAGGGAGGTGCAGAGCAGCGGGAATGGATAACGGGAGGGCGCCACACATACGCAAACAAACATGGATTTGAAAGATCGCGTGATACGTCTGAAGCGCCGCTTTCACCAATGCACTGGAGAGCTCTACCTGATTTGGCGCTTGCTTTCGTGACACACCCAAAACTCTTGCGACGGCACGAAACAAGGTGGAGTTCGTCATGGAGAAGCCGAAGGGAGAGAAGTTCGACGTTGCGGGAGTTCTTTACGACAAGGTCCGGCTGACCATGGTCCTCGACGGATTCACCGCACCAGTCACCGCGGGCACCATCATCGACCTGGTTCAAAGGGGTAAGTCGAGCGGCCGTTTACTTCGTACTAAGTGGGCGGGTTTTCGAGTTCCGGGGTGGATGTTTTGTTCTCTTAAGGTGGGTGCGGGGTGGCAGTACACGTCGTTTTACAGGCCTGGGCGTTGGAGGCTGTGCTCCCGAGGTGGCTCGGAGGCCGGGAGCGAAACTGTTGGCTTCTGAGGAGCGTTATGAGGCAAGATGTGACAACCGTCAGTGTGACTTTAGGCGGAGGGCGGAGGAGGTTCAGGGGGTTGTGTGCGAGAGCGAGAGACAAGGAGGGAGACGAATGCATGAGAACGTGGGTGTCTTTGTTTCTGATGCGTGCATGCCTCGCTATCCTTGCTCTTTCTTCTGCTGGTGATCTCGTTGGGTGGGACTGGCAGGATACTACAAGAACATGCCCATCACACGGAGTGATGGCTTCGTGGTGCAGACGGGTGACCCGGATCCGGAGGGCAACGTGCACGACTTCTTCCCCCCGGGATCGGACACGGTGAGGAGAAAGGGGAATTGTTGTTGTTGTTGTTGTTGTTGTTGTTGTTGTTGTTGTTGCAGCTGTAGCTGCTTATGGCGGTGGTTTCTTGTTGCTTGGAGCGGCGATGGGTTTGGTGGAATTTACCCTTGGTAATCATTTCCTTGTTCCGTTTCGAGCACAGGTAGGGTACGGTAACATTGGACCTATATATCGTCGTCTCCTCTGCTCACACTCACAACACACTGTTACTTTCCGCCACCCTTTTTTTCTTGCACCGTTCAGGCCCGAAAAATCCCTCTGGAGATCGCGGTCACTGAAGACAAACTCCCCATGTACTCTGTCACCACGGAGGACGATGGCAGGGGTTACGCCGCAACCAAGTTACCGTTCCAGGTGCCAAAATGGCGTTCTTGGGAGGGGGGGGGGGTGTACTCATAGTCGTGTATGCCGTAGTCGTTAGACCATTAACCTCGCATCCCTACAAAGCCGGGACGGAGCACGCCGGGTTCTCACCGGACCAGGCTCTCACATCACCAAGCGCGAAGCGCCGTGAGGTATTCGGCGAGTCGCCTGAAGGGTGAGCTGCATCCTGCGGGTGTTCGGCATCTTGTGCTTACTTGCTTGCATACGAATGACAGCTACGTATAACTTAATTTATTTTCTGGTGCTTTCACTTCCAGAGACAGTTGTAAGCACTGTGCAACTGCCTCGAGGATGCTTGACCATTTTAACACAACGTGGTGCGATCATCCCCCTTGCGCGGAGTGAGGCTTCTCGACCCCGCACAACATGATCTACTCGACCACCATTCATGGTTACCGCAAAAAAAAACAGAGGTAAAAAACCCCGGTAACCTGGTCGCCGACTTCACGAAGTAACTTGGCTTGTTTTACAACGTCGTTGCCAAGCGACGAAAACCCAACCCCGATGGCAAAACACCGGGGGGGGGCGGCTTGTTTTACAACGTCGTTGCCAAGCGACGAAAACCCAACCCCGATGGCAAAACACCGGGGGGTGGGGGGGGCGGCTTGTTTTACAACGTCGTTGCCAACGACGAAAACCCAACCCCGATGACAAACACCGGGGGCGGCGGCTTATTTTACAACGTCGTTGCCAAGCGACGAAAACCCAACCCCGATGGCAAAGGAGGTGTGTGTGTGTGTGGGGGGGGGGGGGTCACTTGTTTGCCCGAAGGGAGAGTATTTCACAACAAACGGTCAATGTTTAGCTGAATACTGTTCCCCCACGATGTTTCGTCACGTTTGTAACTGCTAGATCGTCGTAGATTGATCGCTTGCGCCAGGGGAGCTTCGGCTGCCGCTGTTCAGGGAGACGGCGGGGAGAACTCTATCGGAGCCTAGTTCTGCGTGACTCGCCGACCTTGGAAGCACCAATTGCCGCCGCAGCGCCTGCGTACATACCTGCTCTAGAAACGATGTTATTTTTAATTTTGCCGTTCCCCCGCCGTTGTGTGTGTCGTTTGTTTCTCACGGCGCCATCAATTCTTCTCTACTTGTGGTTGCTCCAGTGGCCTATTTTTACTTTTTTACTGTAGTTTTTTTTCTGATTTTTCTTTATTCGCTCCACCACCGCTCGTTTTGTCGCCAGGCGTACGGAGCGTTGGGCATGGCACGCTCTGAATTCGAGGCGGACTCGGCCTCTTGCCAGTTCTTCTGGCTGCTCTTCGACTCCGACCTTACACCAGCAGGTTTGCTGTCGTTGTTGTCGTCGTCGTTGTTTGTGTAATTTTGCCATGTGAAGAAATCTACCTGCTATCCGTTGGCCATAATCTAGGCGTGTGACTGGATCCGTGCTGGCGTGCCATGGTTCTGTTGAAGCCCGGGTTGTACCACACGACGTCTGGCTTTTACCAACACTGCTTGGCCTTGCTGCTGCGGCAGTATGGGAGAGAGTCATGCGGCTATCGTTCTTCAAATGGTCGGGCTAAGCCTTTCTTCGCACCGCCGCGCGTCGAAGAAATCCTCTTTCATTTGGAAACCCCGACGGGCTATGGGGGTGGGCCGATGGGATCGAGTCAAGCGCACAGTAAGCCTGCTGCGAACATTTCTTGTTATCTCCATACTTCACAGGTATCAAACTTGCTTGCCTTCTCCTACCGTATTTGCCGGTGTTTTGTCCTTTTGCTTTTTTTGCAGGCAAGAACCTTCTAGACGGGCGATACGCGGAGTTCGGCTACACCGTGGACAACCAGGAGCTCTTGGCGGACGTGAAAGAGGGGGACATCATCAAGTCGGCCAAGGTCATCTCCGGAATGGAGAACTGGAAACAGTCTGCATAAATGGCAGCAGCCTAGTCAACGTCGCGACGTGATGGGAACTTTCCTGTCCCTTGCGGTGGGTTCCACGTCTACATTGGGAGGCCACCGACTCGGATTCTTGGTCGGATTACATGGACATCTGTACCACGCATCAAATGCATCCACGTTGTCAATCCTTGATCCAAGGTATTGTCGCGACAGAGCCATGTAGCGATGGTTGGAGCGTCAGCGCCTTGGAGCACGCAAAAATCTCCTCTCCCGTCAACGGCACTCTTAAAAATAGTACACCACAAAGGTCATGGCGGCCGGCGTTCACGCGCGTCAGCAGCAACTCTGTAGGGAGTTCATAGAAAATTCGAGTGTGTAGAGGGCACCAACACACATGGGAGTAAGGGAGTCCTGGACTCCTCGAGAACCGGGCATTGGATGGGTTCGCCGAGGGTTTAGTGTATGGCAGCTTGACATAGAATTTCAATCGCCGGCTCCTGGATACCGTGACCGGCTCTCGGCCGCTACTTCGCCCAGCTTTCGGAGGGCGGATAGGGGGGCGGGGGGCTGCGTTGGTCGCTAGCAGTCAGTCTTAATTCATCCGGGGGAAAGGGGTTGTGGTAGAGCTATAGAAACGGCAGCCGGGCAAATCTAAGTACATCGTTTGTGAAGGACCTGGTTAGGGGAAAAAACGATGCCTTCTCTCACGGTAGGTATTTGACAATCGAAAGCTATCACTGACTATCGAATGGTCTCTCGTGCGGACTGCGGAGGTCCTCGATGATTTTTGCGCTCAGACTGCGTGCCGTTCCTATTCAGCTGAGGTATGCCGTTGCACACAGTTGGCGGAGACTCTTTTCCGGCCTCTTTGTTTCACGTGCCGCAAAGGCTGAAGGCTGGCCTACCGCCATTGCTGTTGTTCCTTGATGCCCCACGCACCATCTCCCCCACGGGATCTGATATCAAACGTCTGCATCTTATGACAGTGATTGGCACGCCCAATCCGCCGGCAAATCATCAAAGGCATTTTTCGTCGTACACGGTTGGCCGCCGAATGATGGTGCCGTGGATGGAGAAGTATACCCCGATTGCAGAATAGCCTTGGACGCTGATGGCGTCAGGCGAGATTGTCGCGAACCCAACGTACAAAACCATTCGTAATTTCCCTACGTGAAAGTGTACAACAGTATAGCCGATGGTGGCGATGCAGGATGCCCTTGAACGAATTCACGTATGTCCACGGTGGCGCTCCGCTGTCGCCACTTGCTAAGGGCATAGTGTCCATATTGAACGGTTCTTTACCGTTGCGAGCACAAAACCTGTAGTCCTGTTGTAGCCCTGGATTGTTCTGCTGTGGCCGGTCTTCTCTCAATATTCGGGAGGTCAGGATTCCCCCAAGTGTTCCAATAACGCAGGTGTGTGGAACGCCGTTCGGTTCAAAGGGGTAGTCAGCCTCGTCTTACAGAAGGCGGACATAAACTACCTTGCACTTCGTTGCTCGGAAATGGCGCACTCTTCCATATCTGCCCCAAGGCTATGCACACTCTTTCTATCGTCTTCAATCGCGCACGACGCCGCGAAGTCTTCTGTGGCTTCGCGCGTTTCGATGCCCGTGTTCTTCATGAAATTCCGGAAGTTCAGGACTGTGCGGCCATCGTCGTCGCTGCCCGCCATGTGCACCTGCCACGGGACGTATGCGTATGTATATGCGTGTGCCTCACCCAACTACTGATGCAGAGGAGATAAAACGTGTTTGTAGCGTAACAACCGGAATCCGCTGTAAGTATTCAACCCTTACCTATCTTTCCAAAACCCACCGGGAAACAAGCTCGCAAGTGGCGACGACCAACAGAATATGGCAATGTCCGTGGCAAAGTTAGAAACTAGCTCACCCGTAGACGACCGGCCCAGCGTGTCTCCAGACCACTGAAGAGTACAGAGCAAAATTCCTAGAGCGTATGCATATGGGCGGTGTCCACCACGCAAACGGCAGAAGAAAAAGGGACGAGATCAAGAAAAAACCGTGAACGTTTCTGTCATCGAAAACAGCCCTTGAAACTCACCACGACAACCAGGCAACAGGGTGCGTGTGTGTGTTTAACGCTCGCATGCAGCAATATCATCGCGCCCAGCTTTACTAACAGCTGACGCTTGGACTGCGTTTCCCAGGATACCGCATGGTGTGGGTTGGTGACAGTCATGAACAGCAGTAATGAAACGCATGGTCAGAGATGCTTGTTACCTCGAACGACTCTTCTGTCGTAGGCCAGAGGTCCCCTTGGCGGGGGAGGGCATCAGCCAGCCGTACCATGGCCTCCAAAAAGTCCACCGGCGTCAAACAGCAATTCTTGGTGCGATCCACAAGCTCATCTGTTACAAGCATCCTCGACTTGTAGTTGTAGGGACATTAATGCGCAGAGGAGACGTCCGGGGCAGGGCCAATTCTGGTGTTGTTAACATGCGTAAGCATATCGTGTAACTTAGTCTTGTATCTTGCGAAGGATGAAGCCTTGTTTGGCTATTCGGTCACGCGAGGGGTAGAGTTGGTGCATCTCGACGTACGGTTGCAAGGAAGCAGTTCTTTCGACCTACTTGATGGATGGTGGGGACCAAGAGCCAACTTTGTTGTTGTTGGTTCTGGACAGGAGACAGTTGTTCTTGTGTTCCACGGCTCGAGCCATTGTGTTGGTAGCATGATCCTTGCGCTCGGTGACCACCGGTTCGTCATAGATCACGTGCTCAACGATACTGACAGTTGTCGGGAGGCTCGTAAACTAGCGATTTTGAGGGTTCGTTGGAGGCGAGCTTGCGGCAACCGATCATGACACACCGTCCTGTGGGTAGGTTATCCTGCCGGTTATGCTTTTGAAAGTTGTCTTTCGCACTTTAAGGCCCTGTGGTGTGACCAGTTACCCCATAATACATGGCTCTTGGATTTCGTGGCCATCCTTCACCTAGGGAAACACTACTCCAAGAGTTGTTTGTCAGGACTTGGTTCAAGGAAATCTTCAGCTTGATCGTACAAAGAGACCATCAACAAGGTTATTCTGTACATCTATGTAACGTACCAGTAACAAGATGCACAACAACAACAACAACGAACACGACGATGACAGTGTTAGCAATCGTAGCAACGCACCTGGATGAATACCCTCTTGACCTTGGCTCTTTGAAGCATTCGAAAAATGCCGGCGTCGTCCACGAGCATCTCCCAGTCTGTGAGGGAGAACCGTAGCAGCTCCTGAACTCGTTGTCGCGACAACAACAACAAGAGACGGGAGTCACATCTTGCATTTTGTGGAAAGTACAGAGCATGCCTTTGGCGCGCCTTGGTTCCACACAGTGCTCGACACCGTGATTGAAAATTGGTTCGGTATTGAGCAGCAATTCGACCCCAAGTCTGTTCCAGTCTTGCACTTGAAGAGTGTCCAAGCCCATCTGTGGTGAACCGTAGTTGAACGAAGCTTCTCATGACCTACGAAATCCTTGAGAACGTGCGATCGGATTACCTCTTTCGGCACCTGTATCCGGCGCCGGGCTGCTTTGACTGCCAGATTGTTCTTGGGGTAAGTCTAGGGAGAAAATTGGTGGCATGGGGGCGAGGAGGGCGCACGGAACGTCATTGTCACAATGGTTGCCGGGAAAACCCTTGGGAGTGGGCAAGCCTTAGAGAGTACTACAAACTCTACGACAATTCGAAACTTATAATGATCCCAAGAGGCCTAAATTAGATCCCCAAATTCACCCGAACAAGCCTGCGGACGTCCGGATTCGACTAGCCAGGCCCCGTTTCATCAAGGAAGCTACTCGGAATGTACCAAGCGTTGATGCAGACACAAATTAAGGTTCGATATCGAGGGACTTTCTCAGAGATGAAAACATTTTGAACGAAGCCAACCTAAAACACATTTCAATGGTAGCTCCTTACAGAAAAGCACCTGAAACAGCGCACGGAACCCCTCGATCCTTTTGGTCAGGGCCTTCTCCAGCCCTTCCTTGTACAACCATTCTCTCCGATAAGCGTCCGGATCGAGGAGAGCCGCCTTTGGAAGACGATGGACCAACTGCGATCAAGAAAAGGGTAGTTTCGATTATTCAATCATGTATCATGTCGAATCGTCGTGGGTGTCATCGTAGTTCGGTGTATTTGCCATCCAGGAACATACCAAGAAGGAAGTAAGACGGGGTTTATTCACCCACCTCGGCCATGAAGCGACTTAATGCTCTGGCCACAGATCCGTTGTTGGTCTCCTTCCTGTACAGGATCGCCGCGATTCGAACCATACACTCCATCCATTCCTGGTTGCACCCGGCGTGTAGAATCGTGCCCACGAGAATCAAGAGCGGTGAGCATCGAGGAGACTGGATGTTATCAGCGTGCACCTTTTTGATCAAGAAAATGTTGATTGTGTACCACGTGGTTCTTTTCCCGGTAGCAAAAAAAAGCGTGAACATCAATGGCGGAGACTGGCTTATCGACCACCACCATCAACCCCCTGAACACTGAATACAAGCACCTAAGGTACCACAACTAAGACGCAACGCCAACCAGAGAGCAAACACACACACGCCAGACACACAATATATCCGAAGAAACAACAAAACAACCACAGACCACGGCAGACCTGCTCGCACAACCGCCGGTCCAGGTTCGCCAGCCCCGATGCCGTGGAAGAGTCCTCCTCGGCGTTGACTTTCGCGAAGGTTCGGTTGAGCTCGTCGTTAACCACCTTGTTTTCCTTCTCCCGAGTGTGCAGAATGTCGGACAGAAACGCCGAATACTGGTCCCTGCACGGAGTGACCAACGGAGAAGAAACTGTTGGTGGTATGGTAGAACAAAGGCTGCAACAACACCTCGAAAGCTCGCGTAGTCTGGGTTTACTCAAGCACGGTCACAATTTGTGGCTGTGTATGACAGCGTCTCTCTCCAGAATGGGAGCATTTGAATACGTTAAGAAACCGATCGTCGAGGTTCTAAGGCAGGATCTCCCTCCGGCGTATCATCTTCCACACGGAAAGACCCACGAATGCGCCAGTGAGCGAACGCATTCCAAGAGGGCGAGTGGAATGGGGGCACCCTCCCTTCAAAGCCCTTATCCAGACGTTTCCCTTGGAGCGCTTCCCGCCCTCGAAAGCGGACATGCCTCGATATTAGCAGGATAAAAATCACCTCCCAAGCTGGAAGGCCGCGCCGTCGGGCTCCCCGAACACCCCGTCGAGGGAGACGTAGTAGTTGAAGGAGCTGAGGAGCGTGTTGTAGTGGGCCCACAGCGTCTCTCTGATGACGGCGATCTCCTGCTTGACGCTCGTCTTCTTGATGATGATGTCGCGGTTTCCCTCCGCCACGAAGCGGGGGAACCTCTGCATCTTCGAGGCTCGCCCGAATGACATCTCGAAACGAGATCGTTTTACCTAAAGCAGTACCAGGTGGGTCAGCAGTAGTCGCACACGCGGAGAACAACAATTACGCCTGAATGATGTATGTGGTTGATGCGATGACGTGTCACCGGGAGCGGAAAAAAAGTATTTATCTCTTTCATCCAGTGGCGCGTCCCACCGCGCGAGCTGTGATGAGGGTTTCGTGAAGTATGTATTAGAAAACATGCGTCCGTTGTTGTACCTTGTCGGTGTTGAGCACTGCCCGGCTCTCGCACTGACGTTTCCTCTGAGAGAAGACGGAGCTCCTTTCCACAGACCAAGCCCTGCCGTCTTCAGCGACGACCGCCTCGCCAAGATCGTCGAAGTCATCCTTCGTGAACAGTTGTAGAAGCGACACCGGCGATGGCGGAATAGACGATTGCTTTTTTACGGAAACGTTTATCCTCGGGGATGATTTCCAATTCGCATATCCAATGCTTCGTTTACTAGCACGCGAAGAAGATCTTTAGTCTTCTCTGCGTCCCACCATTTCGCTCATATCGTGGAAGAGAGTCTGCCGATCACGCACTGTAGTAACTCCGAAGGTTTAAGACATCCATGGACACGTTACCAATGAGCTACAGCACTTTTCCAAACACAGTCAAACGTGGCGTGCATTGGCGGATGCAACCAAAAATATTCCGCATCGTGGCCTTCGCTCAACGTTTGTACCTCGAGCTTGAGGTCATGGAAAATCTAATGAACCGGCCAATTCTGCACGGTTGCATGGCTCTAGGGTTTACTTGATCATGATTTCGTTGTGCTCATCACCTCCACCAGCCCGAAATTATATTCTTGTGTGTCCGCCGTCTTGAACCAAGCGCAAGAGGGTGTAGGCAACGGCGCGTCTAGCTTTGACACCGTTCGAATAGATTGCATCCCGCAGATACAGGGCAGCGGCAATCTTGTCCGCTTAATCAGGGCTCTATCGCCAATGTTGACCACCATCTCCAACCCACACAACAAGAAATGACTCGGAATCCCGTATGTTGGAAAACGACTAACCTCAGTTCTCATGCCCAATTTCATGTTTCAGGGCTGACTTCACGCTACCGTAGATGCTACCACGTTCTCTTGAGCAGCAGCAGCAGGGGCAGCAGCGGCCGCGTCTTGTTCACTCACCCTTAACCTAGGCTCTTCGACCAAGAGGATCACCGATTCCACGGGCACCACTCCCATCACCGGACAAAGTCCCTGGCCGGGGCACTTGCCGCCCTGTTGACACCGTGAGCATGCCTCTGTCGACACTTTCATGTAGTGGCGGGAAAGGGGTGGGGCGTTCGGAGGTTCTGTCCCCGGGAGGTCTTCAGGGGATGGAAGGACCACCTGACAAGGATTGTTTTAAGCACAAGAGTAGACGGAGTGCCCGTTGACGTGGCCATTTATTGCCTCGAGTTTGGCGGCAGTTGCCCGCCTATATCATTCAGAAAAGAGGTGACCGCCACCCTGTTCCTTATGAAGTCACGGTTGAACGTTCTTCACTGCAACAACATGTCTGTGGGCCCGTCTATAATAGTGAACACCCCAGAGAGCGAAGGCTAAGGCGAATGAGGCTTTCGGGACCATCACTTCACTCCATTGTTTTTCATTCTTTCGGGTAAACGAAAAATATGTTTCGTGCCACACCTTGCCAACACCTGCTCCCCACCCACTTCCCTTACAAAAGCGAGGTACGGCTACAAGCCTGCCCATCTGACTAACCTCTCCAGAAACTGGCGAAAGCGGGGGCTCCGGTTCTGGGGGTAGTATGCCTAGCTTTTCCAATGAAGGGGGCTCCGCCGGGGTTGGGTACGGGCCTGGGTGTTCAGGCATGTACCACATGCGGTCGGAGCTGGCGTAGTGATGGTAGTAGCGCCCGTCCATTCCCTGCAGAGTTTGGAAGATGGGGTTATCGTTCGATCTTGGGCCCGAAGTTTGGAGAGCCACGCATGGCCAGGTGTCGAGGCGATATGCGGCCGGCGTCACACGGTTGCGGTCACAATGTTGCCATGCGTTCTTCAAGGGTAGGTCCTGACATTCATGATGTCCTGGCAACCCGATTTTTCGAGGATTTCTCATGCATCGCAGAGGAGTATGGAATACATACTCCCTGGGGGTTTCCACCAAAAAGTGCATGGTACCTTTACGTGGCCGAGGCTCCCACGGCACACCATACACCCGGGGACGTGTTGAAAGCGGTCCAGTCGTATTCTGTCGTCGTCCTTTATCCGAACCCCTTCCGAGGAGGCCTCCAAAACCACTCTCCCCTCGCTGTCGACGCAGTTGCGGGGAGGTGGTTTGAAGACGAAGTGCGTGGTCGGGGACGTCGGCTCGAGGATGATTGTCTCCTTGGAGAAGTGTCCGCCAGCTTTTCCCGGGTCCTGATGGGTTGTACACATTGACCGATTTCGTTGTTTGCGTCAGACTTGCTGGCCACGCAGCAGAACGATGCTATTTTGTATGATGTGGTGTCGGTTGGTTTGAATGGTCCTCGTTTGGATCTTGATCCAGCAGTTGGTGACAACTTATCTCGGTTGGTTGGCGGGCTGTTTGTGATACTTGGATGTGGCCGTCTTAACCTGCAGCGACGGTATCTGAAAGAGAGAAGATGCCCAATCGCTACGAGCTGTCTTAGCGTGACACAACCGCGAGTGTGTAACAGTTACAGTATCAACCTTTAAGGAGTCCTTCATTTGGATGTTTGTGCCAGTCTAGAAGATATTGCCACCCGCATCAAAACTAAATACTCAAGACAGGCTTAACCTGTTTCAACCCCCTAATACCAATGTTGAAATGTAAGCAGCCCAGACCTTGCTATACTGGAACAGCATTGGCGGTCTCCAAGGCTGCAAGTCATTCGGGTACGACCTTTTCGACCTTAGGCCGTCCGAGCTACCACAATCGGTGACCGCTCGCAGCACCAGTGTGTTGCCTGTGTCGTTTCCGGCCGCGGGTGCTCGGACCTCGGGTGACCCAGAGGATGTTAGACCCGCTTGTGGCGCTGGATCTGGTGCTGATCCCTTGTTGAACTCTGTCGTGCCACGGTTGGTGTCGGTCGATCCGCTTGGTGCGCCCATGATGGTGCTTTGTTCTTGATGCCGCGTGAAGCGGTACACTCTGGTTGTTTGGCGTTTCAACAGTTTCGATTAGTTACACCTCATAAGAGAGGGGTTTGGGAGTCTCCTGTGTGGCATGCATGCCTTGATGGAGACAGTGCAACAAGGTTGGGTGACTACAAGCCATAGATCTTCGTTCGTTCGAAGGTTGTCGAGTCGCTTTGAACAGCAGAGAACATGTCCGTCGAAGGACGAGCCGTATCTTAAACTACACCAAATGTTGAACACGCACCAAACGGAACTGTTCAGCCACGATCGACTTCTCTAACGAGCAGGGAATTCCTGAAAACGGTCGACGACGTCGAGTGATGTGGACACCCACCCTGGAATATGATTAATGCTGTGATTCCAGGTCTGCTTGACGCGATGAGACACAAACCATCAAATTCAAAGAACGCTACGTCTTTTCTCCTCACTCACCTATCAAGAATAATCCTGCGCGTCCGTAGCCGTGAGGAACCTGGTTCGAACACTACCGACGGAGGTTCCAAACTCCCGCCAGGTACGCCATTGTCGACTTGTCCGAGCCCGAGGGGCCTCATGATCACCTATGGCGTATGCAGGTTTCGTATCCATTTCGCATACAGGATAGGACAAGGTGTTCTCGCATGCATATTCCGCGCCCTCAAAGCCTGAAACACAAGCTATCAAGAGGCGCGAGAAAACAAGTACATCAGAAAGCACCACGCCTACTTCCACCCCCCTACCAACAGATTCACGTCCTTTTGCCCACCTTCCCATCCGAGTGCATCGGTGCAGTTGAGGGTCTTCCACCTTCCACCAAGGAAAGAATGCCTTCAGCGCCTCTACCACACCCGCCACTGTCGTCGGTGCTTTTCTCTCCTCCCGGTACATGCACGTCTTCTCTCGATGTCCATTCCGCAAGGGTCATTCGTGTATCGCCGATTTTGGAAGGGCGGCAGCGTTGGTCGGGACTGGCGGAGTCGGAGGAAGTGACTTCTTTCGATTCTTGGGTCTCGTTGCTGTTGTTGCCTTTGTTCATATCCTTGCAAGCAGTGGTAGAGGTGAATTCGTGTTGCCTAGGAGACGAAGGAAACGCAGGGAGTACATGTGAGGGTCATTGTGCACGTCACAACAATGGGCCTTCCCTTCCGTCTACAAATCGGTTCTAGGTAGAGGTAGTATGTCATTGTCGAGCTGCAATAACTATTACAACCATCCACGGCAATGATGGGTCGATGGACCTTGAACAGGGCGATGCGGTTCACACCCTGCGCGATGTATGTAAGATTCTGCGAACTGTTGCGGAAAGTACCTTACACGTCGGCCAATCTCGCGCACACCTGTTTTCCTTGCTGCGTTGGCGGGCTCGACACCTCGCCTTCGCCATCCTCTGGCCCATTGATGGCGAACCTCGAGTCGCACCGCCGTTTAAGCTATCCCTAAGGCTCGACAGTGCGACCACCCTGGATTGCCACCGCAGCGGCACGTTCGCGGTAACGGCGGGTCTCTTCAGCGACGCCGCCTGGGACACCTTCGCCGTGCCTTGGAACACGATCCCATCGCCACCACCATCGTCAAAGTCGCCAACAGAAGGTTGCACCACAACCGCAGCCGCGCCTCCTATTTTTTGTTTTGACGGGCAAGACCCATCTCGCTTCGCTTGATGCCTATCGTGTCTCGCATTCAGCGTTGATGTTACCGTAGCCGACTCCACTGCTACCGCCCCCGAAGCTTCGTCCAATCCAGCCGTCAAAAATGTCTGCCGTGTCCGCTGCTTCTCCACTATCCCCGCCACGTCGAGGCCATCCTCGCCTCCACTGCAGCCGTCGTCGACGTGTCTCGCCCGGCTTCCCCACAGGGCGGCGGGCATCAAACGCAGACGGTATTGTGCGTCACGGCGGGCGTCGCGGCGTAACGCTTCCTGCGACAACAACACCGCGGCTGACTTTGCGTCACTTGTGCAGCCATTTCCCTTGTAGCGGTGGCCTTCAACGAAGCCGTCCCGGCGGAACACGCTCGAGGAAAGGCTCACAGTGTCGTCGTCTCGGCTGTTGGTCTCGCCGTGCTGTGCTCTCGTTGCGGTACTAGAGGCAGCGAAGCCTTGTCGGGGGACGGCAGCTGAGGGCTTCTGTTTCGCAATAGGAGCAGGTGTAGTACCGGCACCACCGCTGGCTCTTGTTCGGCGTACTACTTCGGACTCTGCTGCCAGGTGTAGCTGTGCCAAAGCAGCACGGTGGGGGCGGGGTCAAGGTGCTGTGTATGTACGAAATGGCGCTAATTTCAAGTATAGTTGGAACGTCGATGGTTCAGATGTGCCGGTAGGGCTCTTCTTCGTCGCGTTGTGTTCACCCCCCCCTGGGAGCAACCTGGACCCATCTTGACCTTTGTGTTCCCCAATGTCAGTTACGCTGTTTCTAAATGTGCTTTGCGCCAAGAATGCCCGGAAGCCTGAAGCTATAGCGCTCGTCCCGCGACACAACGTCCTGATAACCTAGATCTACAAGTTCAACCCGCACAAGACCGATTGCGATCTCGAGAATTGTGACACACCATACACACCTTAGACCTGCGAACAAAAAAAAAGCAACGCCCTGCTCCCAATAATACGCCAAGTCGTCACAGGATAGTTTTTTACTGCAAGTGCTGAGCTTCAACCGGCAGTTCAATCTCCCCAAAAATAATATTGCCACTCAAAGTATGGATAGAAATATCACGCATCCGATCCCGTTGCTACGGTATAGGTGTATGAAACACGGCACTCAAACACTAACCTTCTAGAAATCTGAAGATCCCCCTTACAGCTACTGAACCGAGACAGTTTCCTAGACCAAGCATGATCGCTACCAGTACAGGTCAGGCTTGACGACTTCAAGCAACGCTCACCTGGAAAAGGCGATTCCTAACGCCAGGCACGTCGCTGCGGCTGAGGTTTGCTAGGACGTGACAGGCGAGCTGTGATGTGGCCTCGTCAGGGCTCTCCTCCCAGAGGCGGGTGATGAGAGGTAGAAGCGGGCGGTTGGAGAGTCGCCTGTGCGCCTCGGGTACGCTCGAAAGGTTTTTCAAGAGTTTTGCCTGGGAGTAACAGAGCAGTCCAGCGAAGATAGAAAATAGCACAAACCGGGCGGGGAGGAAGTTTCAACGTGTTGAGCATCCAAATGCTAAGGCGAGTTACGGAGTCGGGGGACGCGGATTGTGGGCGTGTGGTTCTCCCCTTGCACGCGAAACGTTTTCGTGGGGTATCGGCTCCATTCAGTTATCGAAAGCCCAACGCAAGACTGACCCCATTCGAACTGACCACAAACCGGACAACGGAACAAGTTCCCGCACAAAAGCTGCTAGAATCTCCAAGACAGGAGAATGACGACTTGGCACACCCCCCTGAGACGTGTCCTTACAAGGCTCACCATGTTTCTGACAGCTTCGTGATCGCCCTTTGATCCCTTCTCGCGGCCGCCACCACTTTCAATCGCCATGCTGCGCGCCAGCAACCTGTCAACGCTCTCGACCGTGCCGTTCACGGCCAGTCGGCGGCGAGACGCGAGGGTAACCGAAAGGCTGGCCAAGCCGACCACGGCATCACCGGCTAGTGCGGCGTACTTCACGCCCGGCCGCTGGAGCTGCAACGCTAGGGTGTCCTCTACGCCGAAGGGATCGCCCCCGCAGATGCTCTCGCAGTAGCCGCGATACTCTGCTCGGTCCTGCACCGTTTGAATCGTCCCAGGCAAGCGTGGCGGTGGTGGTGCCCCGTCCAGCTCATAAATCAGTAACCATGCAGATCAGTGAAACGAAGGACCATACTACTTTCATAATACTCGCTTCCATCGGCAGCTTTGGCAAAAGCAGCGGGAGGTACTACTATTCAATTGCCTGGCACTTGGCACGCGACCCCTTCGCGTGCATCAGCATGCAAACGCCAGGCGATACTTTCCACCTGCAGGCGTTATTTTTCACCTGCACGGCGAAGAGGACGCCTTGAGCCTCTCTGAGGGTCAGAGGAAGGACGGATTTCACCCACACTCCGACCCTGAGCAACTGCAGAACGAGCTGGATCAGGGAGTAGCTTGCGAGACCGTCGGCAAGCGCCTTCATTCCTTCGGGGAGCAGCAAACACCTGCTCGGAGACAAACAGCAAGTTCGCAGGGTGCAGGACTTGATATTCGGGCTTGTTATCCATTCCATTTACTCTAAGTCATTGCTTATCTTTTTCAATTCCACTACTTCGCCATTGTTCTAGGCGGAAGACTCGTTTTGAGTTTGGGATTGTGGACACATTGGCAACAGCAAGTTGCCACAACATGAGTGTACGGAATATTCAACAACAACAACAACGACAACAACAACAACACGATGGCCAGTCACACCTTCGTATCACCCCGAGACAGCTAGCGGTCTTAGCGTTGTCCTCCACGGTAATCATGCGTGACAAATCCTCGGAGTTGTGATCGCCATTCAAGGGAGTTGCCCACGAGACGAGCTTGGCAATGCTTCCTCCATGGTTCGTTATCTGGAGGGCGTTCTCGGGCTCCTAAAATAGCGAGGGTATGGGCAACGAGGAGGGGAGATGAGGGAGTTCCTTGCGTATCGAGATGGATTCATCGTTTGTTCCTCTTCCACGGAGAAGATACAAGAAGATCACTCACGTAAAATATTCTCGCAGCACAAACGATGTACCCCCGTTGTCCCCGCAAAGTGTACCTGAGAAAGAAGATACAGGGCGGCCAGGCAGTACAAGTGCACTGAGCTGTACCCCTTCTCACGGCTCCACTCGCTCAGCGGCATCAGGCAGGACACAACCCTGGATATTTCGATGAATCGGTCGATCAATGGTCACCGGAAAAAATGTTGGGTCGAACGCCTTGGACATACCACGACAGATCAAAGCCATTCTGTCGGTTACTCTGTCCACTTTTTTGCGCCGCAAGATTTCCCCTCCGGACGTACAGGAGTTGTTCAAAAAACGTACTCCTCGTCAGTACTGGCTCGCCGTCACTTTCTCTAGGTGTTGGACTTGCGACTCAGATGAACACGTCGTGCTGCACATAAAGTTATATCTAGATAGATGAAGCATCTAGACGGAACGATGTGTTCTCATACATGTCAAATGATCGGACCTGGTTGACATTCCACCAACAAGGGAAGCAATGAATCCCCCAACTTCGCGTCAATGCAGCACAACTCACTGGAGTGACCGTTCGGACTCGGCAAACCTCTGTGACTCCGGATATACTTCCAAACTTCGCGAAAGTTAACCTTTCGAAGTGCTGTGGGGGGAGTGAAACTTGGTGGAAGGTGTGAAAACTCCTACAATGGGCAACACCGACAAGAGCTCAACAGACTGATAAAAGAAGGGTTTGAATTCATGGACTCACAACTAACAGTGATATGGGATAGATCTGCCTTTTTTGAAGACGTTTCGAGCAGAAGCTGGTAACCACTCCCTCGTTCTCAGAAAGCGTGCAACAGACGAGGGCTCGTGAACGAGTGATACTTGTGAGAAGTAGGTAGTCGAAACATCTGAAGAGAAGCAAATCTCGAAAGTGTCGACTCATCGGCATCGTGAATACTTGGTGGAACATGGAGGAACTAGGTTTTTGAATTTGGATGTCGTGAATCATTGATTGTTCGCTGCCGGCGTGGGTGATACTCGACAAAATGTAGAAGTTAGTGAAGGGTTGAGACGAGTCGGCCGAGATCACTCGAAGAGTTTTGTGCGGAAACTGCTTTGGATTCGTGGGGATCCAGGCAGCACGTCATGGACTGGACTTGCCCTGATGAATCTTACCAAAAGGGGTGACGTATCACACCTACACGACTATTTACGTTTGATTTCTTGGCACTCCGGTTTGTGGAACTTGAAGTCAGGCACAGTTAATTTCGTGGCACTCAGGTTTGTAGGAATTCAGCCCAGACAAAAGCAGTGCGCACCTGGTCTTGGCGAAAGCTTTTCTGTTTACCGGAACCCGACAGAGGGCCCACAGGGCCGCCGTAGCGGCCCCGCCCACAACCTCACCGTCGCGGCACCGCAACAAGGACACAATTCCCCCCTGGACGGCGGAGGATGCCGGTCTCAGGCCGGCGCAGAGGCAGACCAAGGAGAACGCCAGCGCCGCTCGCTCTCGTAGGAGGCGGCTGTTTGGCCTTGAGGAGGGGCCGGGTAAGGCACAGTCCAGGATGATCTGTGTGTTGCCGATGGTGTGTGTCCGCCACAGGACGACAGGCGGGAATTGGTACGGTGTGAACATAGACGACGCTGTGAAACCGCCGACGGCCCGCACATCGCAGGTTACACAGGTTCACATTCTCGGGGTACACGATGTACACTAGACCACCAACCCGCCTGTGCTCGTCGCTGATATCCAACACAAGCTTTCAAGATCAGCTGTCCACTGAAGTCACTCTAGTACTCAACCTTCACTGACCTGAGCGCCCGTCCCCTCAACCACGCCGGCACAAAACGTCCCCCACAAAAGCAACCGTTTCCTTTCCCGCCCACCCTCTCCCTGCCCCGGCCATTGTGCTGCGTCGTCACTGCCCCCGTTTCTCTCACTATCATTGCCCCCGCCGCCACAAGACCATCTCGCGGCCGCTGCCACCGCCGCCTTCTCCGTACGAAAGTCGGACAAAGTCTGAAAGCCTTGCCCAGCGATCGCGCTTAGGGTGAGGGCTGCCTGTTGTCTGACGAGCAGGCCGGCCGATGGCAAGAGGAGGGCCAGAACCGACTCCATGGCGCCAGGCGGGCCGGCGGCGAGGTCAATGTCTTGCGCGACGCGCGAAAGGCAGGATCCCGCGATGGCGACGATCGAGTGAGGAACACCACCGATGCTGCTGTTGCCTCCGTTGCTGTTGCTCTTGCCGGTCGTTTCGCTGTGGTCGATGTTGCTGCTCACTTTGGTGCTGCTTGTGCTACCCGTTCTACCGCTTCTACTCATTCTTTTACAGTTCGGGTCGTTTCCTGTCGATTCGACACCAACACTGCTGCGGCGGTGCGCATGGTGCTTGGCAACTTGAGATAGGAGTCCAAGCAGTGTCAGCGCGCACTTGGACAGGATGTGGCGAGGAGACATGGATGGCCTGTCCGTGATCGAATCATCTCCGCCACAAATACTGACACCACCCTCGGCGTTGCCGGATGGAATCCCTGCTGCCGATAGGGCACCCTGCTCATTGCCCTATAATCACATTTCAACAATCACAGGCCAGAGGACCGATTTGGGAAAGGTTGGACTCGGGGGTTCGGTTGTTCCGGCGTCTAATTTGAGTTCAGGCGTGGAGAAACATTTTGATCCTAGATATTTTGAATGAACAGGAAGCTGGACATCTTCACAAAGTAAACAGAAATTTCATTTAGGCGCGGGGTGACGCAAGCCTCATTGGAACAGGTAGTCTATTCGCACAACAAGAAGATCGCTCGCTGCTACTTTGGACGACCTTCAAGTCGGGGGCTTGGCACCCACTGTCGACCGAGGCACCTCCGCTGATCCCGCCACTGCTAAGCTCCGTCCGATCGGGGCTTCCGACAGATCCTTCGCAGCTGGAGGAATCGCGTATGCTTCGGGATGTACTATCGTCTCCGTTTGTTGAATCTATGTTTGGCGGTCGAATCGGTCACACACAACGCAAAGTTGGGTCGAGGGGTACGCCGGGCGAAACGCAGAATGCATACATAAGAGTAGCTTCATGCTTGTGGGAGAGGCAGGTGAGGTAGGAGGAGCTGGCACGGGTCAGTCAACAGGAGGTCTTGAGGGAAGGGTACAGCCAGAAGCGGTGTATTGTTGCTCACTGGGTCGCATCTGCTATCACCCGAGTGGTGGAGGTGGACGGACAGCCCGGTGGAGGAAGGTAGGAGGCGTGTAGTGCACAGGAAACAAGTCGAAACCGTTTTGTGTGCGTGAGATACCCGAACATGTAGTACATTATCAAGAGGGGCAGGGCGCAATACAAAGGTGTGGGCGGTGTGCGGTGTGTTTGAATTCAAATCCCAACACTGGCGTCAAGACGTTGTCAACAACCCGACGACTGCTATACATTTTGTTCAGTTCCAGATCGCAATACCGGCTAACGAGCTCGTGCCCGATATGTACGCCTGATAGCTTGGCATACTCCCAAGTCCGCAACCTATCAAACAGAATACGCCTGTAGACTCCTATGCAGGACTAGTATGCTTCTGAAAAAAAAACGTTGCTCAAACATTTGCGGTGACAGCATTCGATCGTTTAGAATTTGCGAAAGATTCTTGTCTGTGGTTTTGGAAAGAAACGTTCCCTAACATACAGGGCGACGGTTCCGAGGAAATCAAGATGCTTGGAGTTTGACCTAGAACAAGCATCCGTTGGAAGCAGTGAAAAAGAAAATTATTGCGGCCAAGACAGATAACAATAGCAGTGCGACGCAGAAACGTCAAAGACTACAAACGTCAAAAGCTGTGCAGGTAGGTCTGTCCAAACGTAAATGGAAACCTTACCAGAAAGGTGGGAAAGGCAGCCCCAAAGAGCCTTTCCGGCACTCTCCATAACCATCGTGACCGAGAGCGTGCCGCTCTCTCCTGTCGCAGCAGCAGCACCAGCAGCGTCGTCATTCGGAACCGTGATCGGGAACACTTCAGAGGCCGATCCATCGGTCGCTCCTCTGGCACTACTACTATCACCTACCCCCGCCTCTAGTTGATCGACGCAGACGTCCAAGAGGCCTGACAGCGTCAGGCACGCCGAAAGGATTTTTCCTCGGGTCAGGAGCGGGGCAGACTCGCCCGTCGTTACGTGGGCCAGGCAGAACGCGGCGCACGCCACGGCTTGTAGAGGAGACCCCCCGAGCACACCGCCGACGCTCCTCCCTCCCCTAGCGCCGCCTGCTCCACCGGTGGCCGGCCGCAGGGCCGACACAAGCGCATCGAACAGGCTGGAGCGGTGTGCGATGCTGCCTCTGATTGAGGTGGACGTCGCCACGAGATTTCCCAGCGCGAAGGAGGCGAAGGACAGGATCTTGCCGTCGGCACCTTCCCGGTAGTCCTTGCGAGCCTGTTTCGGTGTGTGGTTTTGTGCCATTGTTGATGTTTTTGTGTCATGTTCGTGTTTTGGGAATGGGCGAGGGGGTATCTTTTGTGAACAAATACGGGAAGAATTAATGAGTTTCGTTTCCGTTCGCGGGCGTACGGGAATCGATGAACTTTCGTTTCCGCTAGCGTTTTTTTTCGGTGTTCAGCCTTTGGCCTCTCACAGCGCAAGCAGCGACGCGTTCGTGGTGTGCAAGATTCTGTTGACGTCTTTCAGGGAAGATGCACACGGTGCTGTACCAACGCGTTAATAGTCATGGCTGCCTGCGTCTACGCACCTCTAGAGGTCCCCGCGGGCGAGCGACGACGGCGATGAGGGCGCTGGCCACCCTAAGCCGCACAGGACCGTCTACGCTCGCGGCGCATCCTATCCGGCACAGCACGCCGGTCACCCGTGTCTGCACACAGCAAAAAGCCATCGAAGAGGAGAGCCGTTCGTTTAAAACATAAAATATTGCTCCCAGTTTGGACACATCACGTCATGGGACGCTTGTGCACATTTCTCCTTCGCCATGAACCTTTGCTCCGCAGAAACTTGACGTGCAGAGCAGAATTGATAATAGTTTCGAACTGAGGTATTTAACAACGGCAAGGACGACAACAAGGACACCAACCGCCCAAACCAAACGCAAGGGTGAACAACAACACGCCGTGCTCCCTGCACCCATCAGAAAAGAGGCGATCGGGTAGGCTTCCTACCTGCACCGAGACCTGCAGCCAGTACTGCAACGGGCCTGCCCGCGGAGGGCCGAGTTCTTCTATCGCCGCGGCGCATTTTCCCGCCGCGTCGGCCCTGAGCAGGGGCAACACGAAGTCCTCGTACTCGCTGAGCTTCCATAGTATTGTGGCCGCAAGCACGGGTGCCTCGTCGCTTTCAGACCTTCGTAATTCACGGAGGGTTCGGGTATGGCATGAATGTAAGCAAGAGAACAACGCAAGAACGTGGGGGTTTGAACTACGACCAGAGAGACGTAGTGCAGTGGGTGAGGATACGTGTCAGGGTTAGGGCGATAGGGCTGGGGCTTGGAGTTCAAATTTTGGATAAGGACGAGCGGAGAGGGGTACGCTGGGAACACGAAACTCTTTCAACAACGACTTCTATACTCACTGCGGAGCTCTTATGTAAGACACGATCGTCTCTAGCATCTCCCTCGTCACGGCCCACAAGTTGTCCGGGTTGTTGACAAACTCCATGACTTCGCCCAAAGATTCCTTTACGGCGGATGCCGATACCCGGGGCTCCTTTTCTTCGGCCGCCGAAAGTGTTGCGAGCTACGTACGGATGGGAAGGAGGACAACAACAACAGCAAAATTACAATTGGGTTGGAGGGGCTGAAATTCCTTTCGGAACCAATAGCTAAACGTTTCTGACAGGTTGGTACGGCCTGTTTTTCGAACTCCGTCGAAACGAACGGCACGTGTGTTTAAGCACTTTGGTTTGTCCGAACTTGCGTTAAACAATGTTGAAAAGTTGATGAGACGAAATTCACTCACACCTGGTCTCTGATCCACTTGGAAATATGATGCAGGCGCGCCTCGCTCTTGCTGGCAAACTGGCGGCCAATGACATCTCGCCACTCCGAGTCCGTTTCAATGTACCTGGAAGGCAGAGCATGTGGGAAGTTGAACGTCGGCCACGGATGCATAGAACAGACAGTGAGGTGGGGCCTCGTTCAAACGACACCTCCTCTCTCCGTTGTCCCGCCCCCCCCCTTCGGCTCCCATGCCATACCTGCCTCGTTCTTTCCGCGCAGGCCCCGGAAACCGAACCATCGCGACGGCACCAACACCCCACTTCTCTCGTGTTTATACGAATCTACCGTGTATCACGAGAACGAGTAAACAAGCGTCTGGTTCGCTTTGCCAAACGGAGAGACATATGACCAGGTGTCTGCCCTCTCTGACCTCACCTGAGCTCAGGCTTGGACACAAATGCGGCCGAGGATGCATTGGCTGCTTCAAATGCTCCCCCCGTCGGGTGCAAAATGCGAGCTGGCCCCGCGTACTTGTCATCGTTGTACTGGTGTAGTCCACGCATTGAAGCGTGTGTTGTCCATGGAGAACCACAAACAGTCGGGATTCGAGAACGGGTGCGGGGAGTTCAGCGAGCGTTTGTCAAGAACTTAGGCCGTTGACCCTGTTTCATTCACAGTTCACACCGAGACAGCGCACATTTCTAACCCGACAGGGGGTCCAACGCGGTATGAATGTTGTGCACTCACGACACATGTGCAGGAGAAGAAAACAACGAAACCTATCGTCCGCAGCAAAAAAAATTATAACATCAATCGTCGCATCACCTGTTCGCTTCTACCTCTCCTCTTTCAAAGCATGGATACACTTCCCTGCCCGCTTTTTCACGAAGTGCGTGTTGAAGGTTTTCACAAGTACAATAACTTCCCACCAAACGGAACAAACGTCACTTGTCTTGCATTCCCTTTCACTCGAAACTTTTCTGTCATTGTCGCAGACGGTGACCTCTAACACTTGGCAGCATTACGTCTCACTTAGTATGGCCTGCGGGGAAACCCATGTACTGCCGTTGTGTTTCCACCCGCGCTCACAGTTACTTCGCACGTTCATACCTTGAAGAGGAGCGTGACTCTCATGGTGACATTGCCAAGGAACTCGCGAGGGTGCATGATCACGCCGTACACCGGGCCATCGTCGGGTTTATAGCTGCACCGAAGAGAAAAGGGCACGAACATATAAACAGGGATCACGTTACTATGTTCTCTACGTCAACGTTTGTCGAAAGCATTATAATTCTGCGTTGCTTGGTACATTGTGCACATCGGACATTTGTAGGTTCACACCCAATAAGGAATGTCGAGTCTGCCCCGCGACAACAGCGCTTAGAGCACGGTCCGGAAATTTAAAGCTGCTACAGCAGGGAACCAACGGCTGAGCTCTTGTAACTTAGCACTCTCAACCAACGCTCTCAAAAGAACTTTCTGTCAACAACATATTTCACATTCTGGATTATTTTTCGCTCAACTCGAAAATATAAAGTTTTACCTCATGTTTGATTCCGAAAGATATAACATTTCGCAGGAGTGGGCAGTGCGTTTCCGTCAGCAGCATTTAATTCGAACAACGGGAGTGTTTTCCACCTTCGAAAGTAGACGATCAGCGCCTGCGCCGGAGCTCTCCCCCTCGCCGCCTTGTACAACAGCCCGTTCTCTTCTGTCACCCACGGGTCATGCTGGCTCGTCAGAGGGGCGAGGATCCACGCCGCCTCTCCTGCCATGGACAAACGCCGCTGTTTATACACCAACCGGTCCATCTCCTCCCTTGTACAAGATGTTTCAGATCCACGGGGAAGGGGGAAGCGAAGAGAACGAGAGAGTTTTTTTTCGTGTTACGAAGGTAATGGCGGAGCTCTTCGCGCGGCAGGATCGAAAGGGTCGGCTCTCGTTGATTGTAGCCGTTTCTCTGTCTTGAAAGGTCCGCATCCCTTCCCGTCCAGCGGAGGGTATCGGGGAGCGGCAAGTCAGTGCTAAAGAGATGAGAAACCGGACAAGGCCTTCGCCGGCGTAATTCATAAATCGGGACCCACTTGGAGTAGGCGATCGAAACGGTAGGAATCAACATCCGCCGACACCCTTCTAGTATTCTATTAGTGCTATCGTGTGCATAGCCAACGCCATTCAAGACTGCGCCCAGAATCGAGGGCGGTTCTGCCTACTGACCACAAAAAAAGATACCGCTCGGCGCAGTGACACTTCTTTCTCCTCGCTATTGTCGTGGGCACGCTGGTGGGTACCTCAGAGTTGCGAAATGATGCAATCATGTGCGACCCCCCTCCCCCCACGTACACGCTGACGACACCCCACCACGTTCAGTAACCTCGAAATACCAGCGTATGCAATGATCACGAGTGCATCCATCTCTCTCTCTCTCTCTCTCTCTCTCGCCTGCAGGACCAGGTGTAGGAACGAGAAAGCCCCCCCCAGAACTTCGGTCTTGCTCTTACAAGCACCTTCCACACACTTTGGTGCCTTGAATCTTGTTGCGTTTCCCCCTTTCTCTTGTTCGAGAATCACACGACACCTCGCCTGCACCCACAGCACGACAAGCACTATAACGTGAAGCAGCAAACAAAACGATGTAGTCAGAAATACCCCAATGTCGTGATACCTTTTCGCTTCCGCAATCCTCGCTTCATCCTCCCTGATTGCTCTCTTCACGGCTTCCTTTTGCTTCCGGCGAACGGCAGCCTCCTGCTTCCTCTTGGCCTCCGCCTGGATCGCGTGAAATCCGCACCGGATCTCAGCTCGACTCAGGCCGTCGCTTTTGTCCCTGCCGCCCCCCCCCCCGGGTGCAGCCAACGTTTAATTGGTGTGCCCTCTCTCACAGAGATAAAGTTGTGGTGGTATGGGTACGACCTTGAGCGCAGTGCGACAGAGACCAAGTTTTGGTAAACCTTTCATATTACCCCACATACCTATCGAGGTGCACGAAGAGGTCCCGGATCTTCATGTAGTGGACTCCCATGTAGTCGTCCAAAGCCTGTCATTGGATAAATCAGAATGAAGACACCGTCCAGATGCTACGTTACGTTCGCCACAACGATGCGGAAGGTAGAGACTGGTCTCTCGTATCAGAAAAGGAGTGGAGTGTGTGCTACCTCACAAAAGATAAATGTCGTACCATATGCTTTGCTTGCGAAGTGATTGGGTTTAAGCCAACACTAGGAGCCAGCGGCCTGTAAGTGTATCTAAGCAACGTTGGGAACACGGTCATCATTTATGAATGTGGTCGACACGAAGCTAGCGCCATTCTGCCGCTGGCCATACCTGCCTGTCCACGACTCCCAGCACACGCACGCACGCTATCTTAAGTTGTCTTGGGCTTGATGCGGGTTCGTATCTTTATCTGTCGGCCGGAAAGCTTGTGCTGGGAATAGATCGTCAACCTGTCTTTCGGTTTGGGTTTGTCTTATCTCGTCACCTACCTGCATCATGGACGTGATGGCATCCATTTCTTGCGAAGATGTCGTCTTGTAGTGCTCCACTTTGCACGCGAGCGCTACCTGACAAAATGCACGTAGATCGTTAGGAAAGGAAGATGACAAGCGTAGGCCAACCGAACGACCTGCTCTACGCTAGCATCATGAGAGCTGTCATCGTGTTGTCCATGCTTGTCACCACTGGGCCATTATCAAAATCAAGATCCGAACGTAGTCTAGGTATTGACAATAGGGCAGGGAAGAGACACATTCACTGACTCTGAGTATTGTTTCATCCTCCTCTGTCTCACCTCATTGAGCACCAGTATGCCATCGTGGTTGGCGTCCATGTAGACAAACAGCTCTTGGATCTACCGGAGGTGTCGGAGATTGCGTACGTATCGAAAGCATTGGAGGATAAGGGCACATCGGCAGCATGTGAGAACACGGAGAGCCTGAAGGGAAATTGTGGTTCATTCGCACGTTAGGTGGGTTCCGTTTGTCTAACACGACCAATTCAGTATTTCTTTTTCCCTTTGTCGTTATCACGTGCTGAGTGCAGAGTGCATCCTCTTCCCCAAAGAGGGTTAGGCGAGAGAGATTCTATCAGAAACCACCCCGAAAACTTCGAAAATCGAAATTCTACACACTTGGTATGTAACCAAGCGCCCACCTGTTCGGCGCTCAAAACGGGTTGCTTCATTCTCTCCGTACTGTGATTCTGCAGCATCTCCATGCCTTTGGAGAACTCGCTTTGGTTGATCATGTTGTTGTTGGACAGCTGGTCCATGATCTCGAACCAGGTGCGGATGGTCATGCCGTTGCCTTCGATCGCTCCCAACAGTTCTTCGACGATAGACTTTATGTTGCTGTTTTTTCTCGCGTCGATGTACCTTCGCCGAACACGGCGAAAGGCCATTTCCAGCTCCTGTTCAATGACGAGAGACAATTTCAAACAAACCTGTTTCTGAGCCTGGTTGGCCCCCGCAGCTCTGAATGTCATTCGACATGGTAAGACAAAGAGCCCGAACCTTCTACAACCCTTCAAACACTGGTGTTGCTTGAACATTTGTGGAATTGTCCATCTCACACCCGCTGCACAACGTAGCCATGGTGCGTGCGATGCGTGCAGTGCGCCAACAAGCAGCCAGAAATAGTAGCAGTCATAGGTTCGTGCTGCATCGATGCCAACGCTTCGACCCATATGTATGGGTTAAGTTTTCTCCCGGCAGTATAGATGTAGTACAAAGGTGTAGGTGTGAGCTGGTGTCGACTGAGCATAGGAATAGAGTGGAATGCCATGTGTGTGTACTGGGCAACCACGACACTCCCAACTACTAGGATGATCTTTAGTTGGCTTCACAGCATCGTTCATTTGCGATCTCCTACATACGGACACGGGATAAAAAACGCCGGAACCCCGTATCGATAGTTCTGTATGCGTCGAGTTTCCACTCCCTGGAAAATCAAGGTTCGATTTAGCACCACAGAAGCAACCAATTTGCGAGACGAAAGTCCACGCCTACCCAGGATCCCACCATGCCATTCAATCCCCGCCGTCAGTTCCTACTTTTTTGTACGTTTGACACGCTTCGATTTGACGCTGCCGGAAGGGAAAGTAAAAAAGGCTTGATGAATTCCATGAGCCGGTTGCCCAGGTGGTTCAATTGGCAACCTCGCAACTATCTGACGTTTGGCCGGCTGTTCGAATCTCGCTGTAGTCACACGAACACTGGGTATTTGCTCTGTATGCCCAGACACGTTGATAACGGTTAGTGCGTGTGGGCACAAAAAAGCAGCTTCGCCGTCGACGAGGAACAGGGACGGCTGAACCGTTCTCGCAGAAAATGCTACGGAAAGTACCTCAGGCTGAATATATGGAGAGAGGGTATGAAGATCCCGTGTACTCTTCTCGTGTATGACCCCGGCTAGTACGTCCACAAGATACCTAGAGGAACACAACCAATTTCCAGAACAAACGGGATGGCAGCACACACAACGCATTCCGTTCAGCACATAAAGCCCGAAATTTAAGCTGTCGGAGAAACCGGCCTTGCAACGAAAACCATACAACATGAGCGTGAAAGTCCTATCCAGCCTACCTAAACACACGGAATCGCCCGCTCTGTCCGCCCCGCTCGGAAGTGTGGCGCTAACGTGTTTGTGCTTGAAACGCGGAATTTATTTTCCGGGCTGACAGCGCGGGAGGACTCCCGCCAGACGGCCTACGGTGTCGCCCATTTGGGTACTGTCGGGGTCCCGGTTTAGCGGTCCATAGTGTCACGAGTTTTTATAACCGCTTTTGAGGGCAACGCCGCCAAACTCTTCAGCGGCTATGAACCGTTACACTGGGAGGCTCAATAGCGGTTATGAACCGCTAAAAGATAATTGTTGCGCAGCAAGAGCAGCGTCGAAAGCTCATCTCGATAGGGTCTCGCACGCATGTGTCTTACTGCAGCAGTTGTACGAAGGTGTAGATAAAAGACGTGGCCACCTCAGAAGACGACACACAGTACATTGGTTATTTTCAATTCATGAAAGCACAAAGAAAGCTCGTCCTCCGTTCTTCTGAACATTTTTCACGTCTCAAGAGTACACGAACCGGGTTGTCCTCTATAGATTTTTGTTTTGTTTCCCGCGTGCAGCTATTGGCGAGTTGGTTTCTTCTACGTGCCTGGTGCTAGAAAGCCACCTTCTACCTCTCTTTGGGCTTGGGTGGATTCGAGACTCGTGGGAAGTCTGCGCTGTCGTTGGTTGCAAAAGAGTGGCAAATGCGGTGCATCTCGCTGCCATCCGGGTCCTCTACCTCCCCACACCCGCCGTGCATGCGGCCACCACGGCCACCTCGACAATTGTGCGCCCCGGTTGGACCCAGTTCCGCATCTGGAAGCTTGCACAGCTCTCCATCCGCTCACCGCATGGTGTGTGTGTGTGTCGTTCGCTGGGTGCTGTGAGCGTGTGCAAGCCCAAGCGCGCGCGGGATCTCAGGCACATTCAATTGATTACTGCTATTGGCTGAAAACAGTTCCAGTCACCGCTATTGGGGGGACCAGTTTAGCGGTTGACTGGGGTGCAGCCGTGTCGCGAGACATTATAACTGCTATTGAAGGCATGCCGCTAAACACGGACCTGCTAGCCCGGGACCGCGACGGTCATGTCATGTTCCGTGGACAATTTTCCAACTGATGAGAGAAGCCGTGATTGCGCATGCAGATCTGCCTTGTTTGATTGAAAGTCGTGACGCTCATCACTTTCGCACATCGCACAGAACACCCACGTATTCAAATGTTCCAGCAAGGAAACAATTACCTCTGTACAGTGTTCACTGAAGTGCAGTGTACTCTACGCTAGGCATTTGGTACCAGTACGCGGTACCGAGTCTGACGTGAAGTGTACACCAGCAACGTCGTGGTTGCCTATATATATCTATGACACATTTCACATTTCCATGTGCGGCCCGCTAGAGATATCATAGGAGAAGACCACAGCGGCATCCCTGTAACATGTAGCTAGACTAGTCATTGTACACTCAAGGTTGCGTGAGGTACCACACCCCCTTGACCGATTTTCAAAGCTCGATTGTACTCTGCAGCATAAACAGCAGTTTCGTTTCCGAAAATGGTGGCGTTGTGCCGACTTCGTCGAGAGTTTCCCAAAAACGTATCTTTCGATTTTGGCATCCCTATTGTCATCAATTAATCGTGCTTTGGAAATCCACCCAGGGGGTGTGGTGTCTTATGCAACCTACGCATTTCGTATTTCGTCTGCAAGCATGTGCAACATTAATGCAGTAAAATGTGACGAGACAGTGCCCGTGTGGTGTGGTCCAAGCCTTTCAGCCCGTTGAACCTTCCCCCTGAGAGTATCAGATAGCACGCCACACCTGACTTACACATCGGCTGAAAGGAAACAACGCCCAATGGCGTTGACTCATTTTAACACACAAACACTTGCCGCAAAGGAGACAATTCCGTCTCGTCTCGCATTCGAGCCGAACTCGACCTGAATTCCGTCCAAGAAGTCAACCAATAGGTCCACATTAGCTGTTGTGAAGGAGGTGACATCAGGATGAAGCATTTTGACCGCAACCCCATACGGGGTGGCGGTGTGCCGTTCTCCGTGAATGCGTGCAGAATTTGGGCTCCCTCGGTTTGTGTTGCCGTTCGGGCAACGGCAATCCCGCCGCGTTTTAGTTGGCAAATGCAATGTGCAATGTGTAGCGCGAGCACGAACTCAATCGGTTTCTCGACACAGAGACCGTGTGAGACGACAAACAAACAAACTAAAAGGAAACTGCTTGCTGTGAAGAGCCGCTACGATCCGCGAAAAAGGTGGCATGGAGGACCACGCTAGACGAGTTTCTGACGAGCTGCGGGTAAGCTGGATGCCCCAAACATATTATGTTAATCTCGCCGCATCTCCTTGAAGAGTCAGCTGTAGTCTAGTTTGGCGTTCCTGCTAGGATCAACTAGTTAAAATGGGTGTGAGATACTGATTTGTTCCACTTGCAAGATATACACACCACTGACCTACGCGCACCAGCTAGGATGAATGATAACCCAAGCACGTGTATGCCGCCTGAGGCTCTACTACGGAGGCCCAGAGGACACAATTATCTCAAAATGTACGTGTTCTTTTGCCAGTAGTCAAAATCTTAGATTATTCTCGAGGTATAGAGATGGATTTTGTTTTGTCATACTAGATAGGGCGAGGTAAGGAGCCGCGCGAGGTAGAGATGGATTTTGTTATGTCATACTAGATAGGGCGAGGAAATGAGCCGCGCGAGGTAGCGACTCAATACCTTGCAGTAGTCTTATCTGCGATGCTGATGGTGCACGAAACCCGACACACAGCAGCGTGAATCGTATGTGGTGCAGTTCGCGTGCTCCAGAGGGACAGGCGAGCGACGGGATGAGCGACGATGGCTGCATGTGCGGCCCCCGCGTTCAATATTTTGCACTTTATATGCGGTTGTTTCTTTTCCGTTGATGCACATGCACATGCCCACGAAGAAATAAAATGTGAAGTCTCCCCGCTGTGCGGACGCAAACACGCACATCTGGGCATCTGGAACAGACCCAGCAGCAGCAACAACAGCAGGCAGGGCACGGCTTTTGCGAAGACAGTCAGTAGCGCGGCGCAAGTACGCAGCCTGAACCGATCCCGCGGGGAACCATTCTGGTACCGCACAGCAGTAGTAGACCCTCACGCGCTCGACGGTTTTTCTCGATGGTAGGTGTGATCTGGACTTGGGAAGGTGTGCTATGTTTTGTGTTCGTTTGTGATCATCGATCTGCTGTTTTTGGAGCAGTGGGTTGGACCCACTCAACATCACTAAACAATCGCCGCCAGGTTACACATGGCGCATGACTATACCTACGGTGCACAGGTCGAATAGCCCCGACCCCTCCTGGTTTTGCTGTCTCTGTCTGTCTCGGTGTCTTCTCGTGGTTTCAATCGCGTGCGCGCGCGATCTCCGCTTTTGTGCACGCCTTTTCGCGGAGAAAACCCGGGGTTGGGGAGCAAGATCTCCTACGAATTTTGGACACAAACGCTTGAGTAGTACAGCCATCCGGTATCGGAGCACGACCAAACCGGTGTGACGCAGAGGGCGCTATTTTTCTTCTTCCTCAACAGCAAGCACATCGATCGTCGATCGGTGCCCTGTAAATGTCGTTCTGGTCCCAAAAGTGGGTTATATCGGCTTCACGGAAACCAAGTTTGGGGCCCCTGTATCGTGCGACGCAGCTTTGGCCGATATATAGAGCCTTTCTTTCCCTCCTGGGGACGAAGGGAAAAAATGTCGCCCTTCGCGCTCCGCGGCTCATTATTAACAAATACAATAAATGTAGGTGGTTGCCTCCCTTTCAGCAATCAATGTATTCAACGGTGCTCCCCCTTGCAGCACAAACACATCCGCACGCTGGAGGTGCTCCGACAACTCATCGACGAGAACAACGCGATACGCAAGAAACTCAAAGTGAGTGTCTTTCATGCTCACGTTGTTGCGGTTTTCAAGCGTACTCACTCATGCATAGAACCGTACCGGGTATTCGCCGGGGGATATATGTACACATAGAATTGTCTATTCTAGTCTCTAGTAAATATTAGTGCTGAATCTGTAGTAGTCTATAACGATGTCCATCCCTCCCTGCTCTCTTCACTAAAGTAGCTAAATTTGGTGTTTTCATCTCGTAACGTGGGAGCCATGGTATATGTCTTGATCCACCGGTCAAAGACCAGATCCAGGCGTCTCTTTTTTGAATCAGTAGCAGTTAACCACCGCCCGCGAAATCTGTTCAAACGTTAGTAGGTAAGTCACTCGATAGGTTGTTTACGACACGTTGGGTGTGCCGATTGTCGTTTGTATTAAGAATCGATATCATCCGAGGCCACCAAAGCCACTTCAACGATTAATATATGTATGTTGCACGCTGGATATGACAAGGGCATATTCTTTGCTCGCCAATCGTAACGGCATTTATTCGCCATTCTTCACTTGGGGGCTTCGGACAAGGTCTTTGAGGGAGAGAAGCGTGTGCCGGATGGAGCAACCGACCTTCGCGAGAAGCGAAACGCGAACAACCAGAACGAAGAAGAGTTCAAGGTTACCGATGGAGTAGACACAACAGCGGTAAGCACCTTTCACGAGGTAGCCCATTTGTTTTACCCTTAGTTTGTTTGCTTCTTCGCAGCGCCACCTCTACAGATTCGGGGAATGGTTGAGATCTGTAAATACATCTTCTTTGCAGATGGGTGCTTTTAGAAACGACTGCTTGTATTGCCATATCATCCAACATAGGGGTATTGAATCCCTGGACACTCGGCGAAGAACGGACGAGCCACTGCAAGTTGCGTGCCGGAGAGGAAGAAACAAGAACGGCCTAGAGCCGTCCCAACGAGTGCATGGGTATGTAGTTGCGCTGAGCAATACCGACGTCGCTCCCATGTCGCATCGCAAACAACATCAGAATGTAGGAATCGAACGGGCGATGGCGCAGCTAGCACAGGCACAAGCCGAAACAACGAAGGCACGGGCTGCGGAAGAAGCCAGTGAGTTGACCTTGGGGGTTCTTCTAGCTCAAAACAAAGACCTCGAAACGTCTCGTGCAGCTGTCGAGAGGAGATGTCAAGAGCAAGTGGAACGCTTCGAAGCAGAAATGGCCCAGGTGGGTTCGTGGAATCAAGCCTCAAGGGAGCATGCATGAACGTGCCTTGGAGGCATCTGCCACACGATGTCCAGGTTTTGGGTGCAAACCGTTGGATTGGTAGTTGTTATTGCTGTTCGCTGCTGCTTGCTGCTATTATTGCTGCTCATCCTGCTGCTGTCATGCTGCTGCTGCTACTGCTACTGTTGCCGCTGCTACTTTTACTTGCATTGTTGATGCCACGGTAGTTGTTATCAATTGTTGTGGTTGATGGTCTTTGATTACTAAATTTATTGTGAAGGAGAATCCTTGCCTTGGACTGAGTTGTTGCTGTGTTATCATCTATGTAGCTGAAGAAGCACCCGAGATTTTAAGGCGAGTGCCGCTTGTGTACGTGTTTCCCGATCGTGGCAATAGCACACCGTATCGAAGAGCACTCATTGTCAAAGGTTACTGTCTGCTGCATCTGTACACACGCTGGCACAGTTTAACAAGCACTTGGCGTTCTTCTCCGACACCCTCGCACTGTCAACGATAGCATTGCTAGCGTGTTTATATTGTCGATCACTTTTCATCTGTGTTGTGCCACCCGGCGTGTATGCCCCCGTCCGTGCAGCTTAAACAGCAGTTTGCATCGACGATTGCTGAAGCTCAGGCAGCGCAGGAAAGGGCGAAGCTGGATGTGTCTCGCCTGGAGTCGGAGGTGGAAGAACTACGGCACAACACCAGCCAGGCCGCGCTCAGTCGGTGAGAAGCAGCGCCATCAAACCTACCCCAATCCCGCCGAAATCAGCGTTGCAGCATGCGCACATTGTCTTTCGGTATCTCTCTTCCGTTGGATGTCGTTGTGATGGGAGAAGAAGAGGGTATGAGCGGAGCGGGGGAATTGGGGAGGGAGGGGGGGAATGTAGGGGTCACTACGCGTGGCGGATAGGGCACGGTAACAGCTGAATTACTCATTGGATCATCATAAAGGATTAGGAGTTAGGAGTGGTACTGCTGAAAACGCCTTTGGCAATCGAAGTGCGGGTGTCCGCCGCAACGACTGGTTTCAGCTGTTGCAAAGAAGCTATTGCTAGCATAGCGCCTCCCCCTTCCTCATGAAAAATCTCCCGTTGGACTTTCGCGCCCACGGGCACTTCCCCACGCTCTGATCTACCGATACTCGTCCCGCACTGCACCCGCCAATGCGGCGCGTTCTCCTACTCTATACTACACGCTAAACTCACGTGACCGGCAACGCCGGGCGCTATACGCACAGCCTGGGGACGGCTTGGATGGACGACGGGGATGACGATGAGAGCGTTCTCTCGCAAAGGTGACTTGGTTACAAATCGACCCGCTATGCGAATGCGCTGCATAGGGCAAGGTTTGACGTCGCGACAGAAGCGTTGACGTAAAGAAAAGCACGAGATGATGGTCGGGAGGGGGAGGACGGAGGTGTTATGGCCACCTACTGCTTTTCTTCTCGATAATCGATGCTCTTCTCAGGTGATGACGGTCTGGCCATCGACGTCGAGGCAACTATTCCGATCCCGACCAAACTCAAGGCAGCCATCCCCCCCCCGGTCCCCCCTAACGATATCTACTCGGCGAATTCCCCGACTTGACACTATTTGTAGCCATGCGGGGTGACTATACAGCACACCTACCCCAACTTGGCCTGTAGATATCAACCATGCGTGCATCATTTCCCGTCCCCCCAACCCAACCCAGCCCCTGGACACAATCGATCCCCTCTGCTCCCCCTTCTCACTGTCTTACGTTGGATCGTAGGGAGGTCGTGAACCTGCAGCGGTGCCTCCGTGCAGTATCGCGGAGAGAGTCAACGGCGAAGCGGAGATGCCTTGACCTTGAGAGACAGGTGGGTGGGTGGCACTCAGTAGGACATGGGATGAGCGAAGGTGTCGAAGCCGAGCTATTTGCCATCCGCGGTCGGATACACTTGTCGCGAACACGCAAGGAGAAAGCGCTGGTGCTTTGTTTGGATCGAGCGAGGCCTGACAAAGCTATCACGTGGACTGCTTGGCCAAGCCGCAGTAGCTTAAATCTCAGCCGCACGGGCCGCTGGCATCATCTGACGAGAGATACGAGGATGTCGTTCGCTCCCCAGAAGAAGCGAGACGAGACTCTTCATGTGTGTTGAACAAGACATTGTGATCACCTTTCGAGTGTAGGGAGAGGAACACCTTGCCGTCGACATGCATTCTCACCCTGAGGGCAAATTTCGCCTCTCCCACGCTTTTGTGTATCCGACAGGCCAAAAGCGAAGTCCTCCGAAGGGAGGGCGTCGAGCGGGAGCTCCGTGCGCTCCGAGCGGTCGCAGATAATTTTGCCGCGCCCAACGGGGGGCCTCAAATCGAGGTACGATAAATACGTGCTGTTCTGCTGCCGCCACGCATTTTGCGTTGCTGATGCTGCCCATCTACTTAAGCGACGGTATGGAGGGCGATTTAATGGCACAAATATATCGGGTGGAATATTCGCGCACATGCCAAATATATTATAACCCTCCTTTTATTCACGAGAAAGACGCAAACCGCGGTGTTTCTCTTTCACCCTGTACACCAGAACCCTAAACTACCCCGGCATGCCTTCGGTCTTTGACGCATGTATCACGGCGGCCGACGTGAACGAACGAAGCCATTCCAGAGGGTTCCTCCTTTGCCGGCCGTGCCGAATCGGAACAGGCGCTCGAATGGCGGAAACACCGTTCGCAAGGGCCATAGTGGTGCCCCGACAATACTGGTGAGAGGTAATCAGTAGCGTTGAGAAGAAAGTTGAACCGTTCCGCAATCTCACGAAACCCGATGCTCCGGAATACCTCCAGTTGGTGGTGTCATATACATCAAAACAGCATACCCCGGCCCTCATACGCCACTGCAACCCAACTTGGGAACCCTCCTGTAGGCGGATCCCCCTCCAGAGTTGACCTGCGAAAAGGTGGCGGAGCCGCAGCCCGTTGTCGCGCTTCCGCTCGCGTGTCCCGGCGGGAGCGACATCGACGATGACGGTTCGGTTGCCTCTCTAGACGGCGGACCGAGGAAGAATGCGGCGACGGTTGTCGACGTGGAAGACGAATCGAACCTCGGGTCGGGGATACGGCGGCTGAGAGAGAGCGAGAAGATTCTACGCGAGAGCAACGCCAAACTTCAGGTTGGGCAGGCGTGTAGGGCAATGTCAAGTGCGGTGTCTCGAATATATGAAAGTTCGTATATTACGGAATCGATCCTGTGAATGGGCCGTGATGGGTGTGAAGGGTAGGGTGCTGTACATTGCACTCAGAGAGATGGGTAGACCTGCAAGGCATTTGCCGAGAGTGTGAGAGATCGCAGCACGAAACCGCCGCTGGAGTTTCCCCATCATTTCACGTAAAGGGCATCGTACAATGTAATCCACCAAAGATATACCGCCCTCCTGCGCCTCCGAAACCAAATAATCGCGTTCCTGCTGTTCGAAAACTGGCACAAACGGCGGGGGGAAGCTTTCGTCGCTTGTCCCTTGTCTTCCAAATCGTTTTCACTGGCCGACATCCCCATACTCGTACTCCGTTCCCGAGCCCCACTCCTCCCGTTCTTTGTACTACGCTTTGGTTGCCCCCCGCGTATTAATCGTTCAGACATAGGGAACTCGGGAAAACCAACAACAACACGGTTGCAGTTATCCAGTGCCTCAGAGTTTATACAGCTCTCCACACGCACCACTCATCTTTCCTCAATGCCTCGTTCCCTCCCATCCCCCGAAAGAGAGAGCTGAGGCAGACCGCGAAACGGCTGGAGAAAGCAGTGGCGTTTGCCTCAGACGTGGAGGCGGAGCTCCAGAAGGTGGCCGGGGATGGAGTGACGTTCGAGACTTTCGTGGTCCTGAAGCGAGACAATCAAGCTCTCAAGACGCAGCTCGCAGAGATAAAGCAGGCAAGGAAGACTTTGTTGGCGCGGTCATTGTCACATCCAGGCCATCAAGACGTGTCGTTAGCAGAACGAAGCCATCAAAGACGCGTCTAGTCAGCTACTGCTTAAATCGCAGAAGACAGCGCAGATGTCCCTTCGGAACTTTTTTGTAGATTGCTGCTTAGAGGTTAGGTGCAATTTCTGTCAGGTCGCCGAAAGGCCTGCCTTTCTTCGACGCGGGCTTGTAGCCGCGCGAAGCTCTACCGCCGTGCGCTGCAGACGAGCATATGAGCCCCTCATTGATTGGGTCGCGTGTTCAACTATTTCATCACCAAGATGCGCGAGAAGATAGGAGTACCCTCCCCCGCTGGTCCTGCTCCTGGAGGTCCCCCTTCTCTTGTTTTTTCCTTTGCTCTTTTCACAGAGGGTATCTCTGGGAGATTGCCCTGTGTCGTGGCCATCGTACCAGAGGAGCACTCCTTATCCAAATCAGAATAGCTACCCCCCGACGAACATAATACGTTGGTAAAGAAGTGGCCCAAGCGGGCGAGAAGTATTACGGAATGGGACACACATTTTGAGCCGCCTTAGGCGAAGCAGGAAGAAACGATTGGCGACTGGCGATCGGTCCTGTGGGAATAATGCTCCGTCTTCTCGAGGACGCGTGGTCAATGGTCTAGCAGCGAGGCATGCCAAACACGAGTACGCCCTCCGCTGGTCCCTCTGCCTGTCTCCTGTGCACCCCAAACAGGCGTACTCGATGGTTCTGGCATCCTCGCCCTCCAGAAAAGTGAATATCTCTTTCTCGGACACGGCGCTGCGAAAGCCGCCCATTCGAACTGACAGCAAACATGGCCGAGGCGGCAGCGTAAGGAACGCAAGAGGGTTAGGCATCAGCATTGGAAGCAGTCAAAGACCGCCGTCAAGTAGGAGCCAATCATCCCAGGAGGGCAGGGGATCTTCGTTGTCGTCGCCAACCCATCGAAGAGTAAGGTCGCTTTGGCAATCGTCGAGCTTGAGCCGGGGCAGAACGGCGCCCTTGAGAGCAGTTTGTCTCTACAAGCGGGCCGAGAGCATGGGCGCTCTTGACAACGAGCAGCGATAGAATTTGTCGCACACCGATATATGGTTGGAATGAACACGTAAACACCAAACAGAGGGTCGGATGGGGGGAATCCGAACGGTTTTCGCGCAGTGCACGCGCCCAAGTGTATGTTCAAATCGTGATGCGTCGTGCAAAAGCCAGAGTTGATAGCCGAAACGTGATGTATAAGGCCGCTGTACACGCACATGGAGTCACCTATACGGTGTACATGTACACAGTGTAGTTGGTTTCGAGTCCGGCCGGCTCCCCCCTGCGCCACAGACGCTCAAAGGTGAAGGCAGCTGCCTGACCACAGTAGACTATTCCCTGTTCCTACGTCTCTTTGGTCCTGGCTGATGCGCAAAAAAAATGTACCGATACAGGTATAAGACTGACATCCATGATAAATGAGACGATACAACACTCACTCTTGTACGCACGGACAAACCTTAACCTTCTGCTGATGGTGGGTGGTGAGCTCTCTCGCGGGAAAATACATGATTGCAGGACCTGAGACGGCTTCTATACCGCGAAGGCTGGGGTCATGTATTCGTAGATGTTCGAGAATAAAGTTAGCTGTCGACTCACAGATATTGGAAAAGAGTCCAGTAGTCTACGAGCACATCTTTGCGCTTCGGTAGGTCTGCTACTGGTGAAACTTTAAACAAACATCGATTGGGCGCGCACAAAACATAGCATACATGTGGTAGACAAAATGCATCTACAATAACTACTTTAGTCATACCGTGCACCGGTGCTTAAGTATTTCCATATCTGTGCGATGCTTGCAGCCAGCATGAAGACAAACCATGATCGACTCTGCGGGGCTGTTACGTGTTTTGGCGCTTCATTTCTTTGGGGTTTTCGTTTTCTCTCGCTTGCTCCCAACTGACTGGCTCTATCTGAGATCTTTTTCGAGAAAAAACGGCTGGATTTCGCGCGCTTTGTCTCCGTACCCACCGACCCCCCACCCCCCACCAACACACAACATACATACCTTACTTTCAAGGTTCAGCTCTAAGCGCGCAACGCAGCATCACACAAGGCACTCTCTGTGCAGAAGACAAATCCAAAGACATGTCATCAGGTTATGGCGACAACAGGCTGCTGGGCCTCGACCCCTTCGGGCGGTACACGAAAGAGATGTCGGTGACGGCCGGCATGCTCTGCCTGTTCGGTTTCATAAACCTCGTGCCGGGCGTCTACGATCTCTGCTTGTCGACCATTGATGGGCAAGACTGGTCGGGAAACAGCGACGTCTTCCCTCCCGTCGTCCGCCACCTGGCAGCGCTCATCCAGGTCTGTCTGCGGCGTGTGCACTAGGATTGGTTGTCTTTTGATATGCATTGAAAGCCCATGCTGACTGTCTCTCGTTGAAAAATTATTGTTCTCAGTCAGCTTGATTGAGCGAAAGGGTGCCGTCGAAGGTGTTCTGCCGGATGATGTGGCAATATGTGGGGTGTCTGACGCCATCATCTCTTGACATGAAAGCTCGAGATCATTGTGGCGTCGTGGCATGCACCATCGCTGTACCAAGCTGGCGGCGCGCCGGGAAAAGGGGGTGTTGAACTACAGTAGTGTGGTCAACACGATGTGTTTGCAAGCAAACTGGCTCCATCGTCAAGTCGGGGAGACATTGATTCTACTGCAGTTGACTGGCTTTATAGTCTAGCGTACCTTCTCGGTCTCGGATCACCCAGCCAGCAGCCCCCTCGTGCCAGCGTTACAACCCCCACAGCGCTGTATGAGGTTGAATATTGCGGCGCAAGCTCATGTGATGTAGTTGCAGCCAGAGAAGACCAGCTACTAATTTAGTTGCTTTTGCGAGGCCAAAAATAGTTGTCATGCGTGTGAAAGCAACGTTGAAGATACAACAGCAGTGGATACAGGAGATGTGTCTTTTCGTTCGTGTGTCAGCTGTCGCAAAACTTGGAAACTCACCACCGTCATCGCGACGCTGGTGTATTGTTTGCTGTTTGAGTGCACTTCCCTGACTGATGGGATCCATTCACATGTCGCCTACCGCAATATCTGAAGCACATCCAACCTGGCTATACCTTGTTGACGCCGGTATGTATCGCTGTACATGGCGGAAATCTGCCGGGCCCAGCCGCACCTGGATTCTCCCGCCATCCCCGCCTTGCCTGCCCTCCCTAGGATACGCCTATTTACTGCTGTAGCACGTCAACTCCCCCCGCGAACGCAGGAGATGGAGTAGCAAGGTTTTCGTTGCCCCGCTTGCGCAGATGTGTAGTCACAGGTGCTCTCAGCACTAAGCATCACTCGTGGTGCCGGCTCTGGAAACTGACCTTGCTTATTGTTCCCTGTGTAGACTAATGTAGCAGCTTGGAGATGATATATCTTCCTGTGCAAGAACAAGAACTATAAAACTTGTCCCAGAGCCTATGTAGACTACAACTTTCGGCTGCTATACACCTATGCGTACCGCAGACTACAAACTTGTGGCGAGTGTTGCTTATGTTGCAAAGCTGGATGATGTACATTCTGACGTCACAAGCGCGCCGTTGAAACCATAACTGCCTACAACCGTTGATAATATTCAAATGTTTGGACTTTTCGTTGTCCTGTCTATTTTGGGGCTTCAACAGCGTGGTTATCGTCTTTGATGCTAGCGTCTGAGGTGCTGGACCAACCGTCGGCGTCGTATGCCTAATGGCTCACATCATTATCTGATGTGAGTTGGTGGCGCACCAACCCGTATTGGTATACCGTTCCCAGGACTGAGATATGCTGCCCTCTCCTCCTGCATGCGATCTTCAACTCGCCCAGAATTCTGTACAGCATCATACACCCCTCCTCTCAAGTCTAGCACCACATGCTATGCGTGTACCCAGATCACCTTCAGCATCGTGTCGATGGCCGTCGGCTTCCAGTACCTGGTTTGCGGCGGAGCTTGCAGCCACTGGACCATGATTTCCTTGTTCTGCTCGTTCTTCTCGCTCTTCACCTTCGCCGTGTCCGTCGCCTACACCGGGTTCCTCTCCGCGAAAGAGAGCTTCGACTTCATCCCATCCGAGTACGGAGCTTCCACGTCCGAGGTGAGAACCAAAAATTAACTCCTCTACGGAGTTTCATAGTCTAAAAAAGAGAATATGTACATGTCACGTGTTACAATAGGAACCTCGAGTTCTACTATTACACTCTCTACCTACCACTCCTTTCGTTGTAGTCTAGGATCTTTCAAAATATGAATGTGAATGCATGATATGAATGGTACAGTAGCAGCACTTCTTCTTCTGTGAATACAGTTATGTAGCGCCAGCACCTAAGAACCTCTAGTTTTGGCCGAGGCGGTGTTCTTACTACTGTAGTTCCTATGATGATGCGACGAATGATCAATATAATAGTAGTACGTACACATGTTTTGTTGTAGTTTTTTTTCATCGAGCGCACAAATTGGGCTCAAGTTCTTACTTTTAGGTTTTCGAGGCTTAATAATTGATGATAATAATAATAATATATATGGGGTGTTTGATTTAATTAATTAATTGTTTTTGGGTTTGGGGAGTACATATCTTAAGGGTCTGAAGACAAGGAGTTCTGATGCTGGCTCTGTAATCTACACATATATAATCACAGGATGGTCGTCGTGTCGTGACACATTTCTTAGGAAAATAAATACACACACAGAAATACTACCTGTTCGAGATATACCCACATTCGAACGGGATGTGGTGGAGTCTTTTCAGTGAGTGCCTGGGAAAACCGGCTGGGTACAGACTTATTTCGAGTCTATTGAAGTCTATACAATACACTGATGATTTATATCTGTGATACCAGCTGGTGCAAGTACAAAAACATCTGTAAAGGCAACCTACAGTTAACAATACATCTCCTTCAGTAAAAAAATAAATCTACATGTAGACTACCTCCAGCATTCTCGCTCTAGATCAAACATCGACCAAGAACGTTTGCCTACTACCGCGACGACCATGACTGGATGGGATATCCCTCCGACGACGAAGCATACTTCAATGCGATGCGAACAATCGTGCGCCCGTCATGCACCTGTCACATGATGCTGCCGACCAACAGATGCACGTATACGTGTCGCCATATTACATTGTGGTCACCGCGCACACCTAGTCCAATGCAAAGAAAGAAAACAAGCTTCGAGCTAGCTAGGTGTTAGTAACCTGTTCATTTCTCCTTTTCGTCGCCTCATGCCGTCCATTCGTCGTGTTGTATTTTTCCCGGCAACAGAACCGTTCCGTCGCTTCGATGATTGCCATCGCCTACGTCGCGTACGCGATCAACAACTTCTTCGCTCTCGTCCACCTCAACTACAAGGTACGGCCTGGGTGCGCTTGCGTAGTGCTTCGTACCACACAGCGCGGCAGGCGGCTGAGAGAATTGACGGCGCATACTTTTTTGGGTTGTCATACTTTTTTGGGTTGTGCTGTTTTTTGTGTGGTCAACAAGTGCGTGCGCCATCTTGAACAGAGTGCGCGTGCTTCCACGATGTAACGCACAGTAGCTCGCTGTTGTTGCTGTCACTGGTGGTTTCGTCGTGGTGGTGGTGGTCGTCGTTGTTGTTGTTGTCATGCTTGTCTTCATCCCTTGCCACGTACGGTCATTCTTGAAGCTACAGTACCACAACCTGGACACGTGGAGGGTGAAGATAGCAAGCCCGCCTTGCCAGTTTCTTGCACGAGATACTGATTTATTCCTTTGTCCTGCTGAAGAAAAGGACGGGATTCTATGACCCAAGACCTGATTCCGTAACCTCGACACACGGTGCATGTATATGCAGAAATGGCCATAATGGCGCTCTCCTCACTATCACCGGCCACACCGGCCAAGAAACCGTTCGCCCCACTGGGTGTGCACCCGTCCCTCTCCTATTTGCTCCCTTCTTGTTTGAACCAGATGTTCATGTACCAGTCTGACCAGTGGGTGGGCTTCAATCGCGGCTTCTACAAGACGGCCCTCATGTTTGTTGGCCTGCTCACGCTCCTCGCCGGCACTGTGCAGCTCGCTCTCGGGGCCTACGTCTTCGACAAGGTTTGGACATTGCCCTTTTCTTTCCCTCACCGATTAGACAACGAGTACGATCCGTTCAACTCGCAGGATCGTTTCTCGGAGCGTTGAACAGACTCAAGATTTAACCGATTGAACGCAGATTTACATGTTGGTGTTATCGTCCTCGGGCAAGCTATACGTGATTGTGTTCTGCATGGATACATTGGCAGTAACTTCACTTCCGCATCCAGCCGTCTACTGTGAGTTTACGATTATTCAGGTTTGGACACTGGCAGGCGACCATCGACCGCTTATGACGGCGTTTGTTTTAAAAGCGCGGCGACCTATTACCTCGGTCTAAGGCCTCCGTCCTGCCGCTTGATGGCTCAATAAGTAAACAAGCAAAAAGAGCAACTGTGCTTTTGTGTCAAAACGGTCGGAAGCAAACACTACCGTCGCCCCGTTGGTTTCGCGGGGCGTGTTCCCGTCGCGTGCTCCTAGATTACTCGTTCTGTTGGGACTTGCCATCCCACTGACTCCCTGGTTCTCAACGTGAAGGCACAAGAGATCAGTAGCAAGGTTTTCATTTTTTAACCTTGAAACCTCAGTTGTTGGTAGGTACCCTGGCTCCATTTCCGTCGCCCTCGCTCCTCGGTCTTTGGCTCGGCTCAGCGTGGTCGGCGAGTATCAACCCTCCTCACCCTAACGCCGAGGTTCAGCAACGTTCAACGGGGCAACACCATGATGTCGAGCACCCTCAAGATACCCCCCTCCGCCAGAAACAAATCGCACGATTGGAATCTCACCACAAACATGCTCACGCGCACGACGCATAGGTGGACGAGGACCGGCTGTCCTCTCCCCTCGGCGCCATTTTCTTGAGCGGCCCGTTGCTCGTCACGTACTCGAGACTGGCCATAGCCTTCGGTGCCTTCCAGCTTGTCCTCGGCTGCTACATCATGGTCCGCGCCACCCAGGCAAGTCCTCGAGTCTAAAGGGGCGTTCGCTATTTTCCAAAAAATTGGAACGTTTCCAAATTGTGGGGGAAAGAGAAGCGAGTTCGAAGGCAAAATATCTGGAAACTTTCCAAAATGTTGGAAGCTACGGTTCTTAGTTTTCTGGGCCCTCCAACTCACTTCCAAATTCTGGCAAGTAGACAACTTGGTTCTTTTTGACGCTCAACAACGTGCCCGTGCTTGTTTCGCGGTTCAACGTTAGCAGAGGAAGAGGAGTGGTGTTTTGGTTGGCTGTTGGTGGTTGTTCGTTGGTTTTTCTTGTTGCTTTGCTTATGATGCCGTCGCTGTTCTTCATTGTCAAAGTTAAGCGACACCTCAAGATGTTGTTGATGCCGCTGCTGCCTGCACTGGTTCGTCGATCAATCGCAAACTAAGCCTCGTTCAAACTCACTTTTCTTCCTGTTGTCGAGCAGAAACCTTCCAGCGGGAGCGGGGAAAACGCCAAAGGTCTTCAGGCGTTCCAGTTCGCCGCGTGGTTCGTGCTTGTCCTCAGCATCTGCATTCAGGTGAGGGGGTTAACGAAGCAAGAGATCATCAAACGCGTGTTAGGAAGTAGAGTTCGCTATACTCTTAATGGAACTCCAGAGGGTGATTACAGGCACGCGTGGAGGGGGCACGAAATCTGTACGATGGAACGAGCAGCAACGGTAAAATTCTAACGGCCCTTCCCCCAGACCATGTCGACGAGGTATTCATCCCTATCATGCTTGGACCCCGCACTTTCAACTCTTTGAAATTCCGCAGCAGTCGTTATTTGGCCAACACGTACAGGTCTAATGTTTGATTCATGGCGACCGTTGTGATCCCCCCATTCTCCGTATTAGGTGCTGTCCCAAGTGACGATGAGTTCGACTTCCACCAACATCGTCGACCGCTACGCCGGCTTCGCCGCTCAGGCCGTCGCCTACGTTGTCGGACTCGGCCTGTTCCCCATGTACCTCGATGGTAAGCAACCAAGCTGCCTTTCAGTTGGTGCCGCGTGTCGAAAGGCGGGCGTTCTACAAGCACTGGTTTAGACCCGCACAGGCTTCACCCGCATTGAGCTCGTCGTCGCCGCTCTTGCGTGTTTGTTCGTTTCTCGAACTACTTGGAGCACTGTCAGCATTCAGTTGCACAGCCTTCTCGATTGTCGCCAGTCAGCTTCCTCTCTTCCTCCCAAAGCTTGCTATCGTCGGAAGTGTCCAGTTTAGTCGTTGCTCGTGTTGCTCGTACAAAGGAAAGCGGTTCCCAATGCTCTGTTCCCGTTCTGTGCAGACTTGGTCTATTCCCGTGCGCTTCGACGGAAACTCTTGGTTGTCCTCCAACGCACTTTGATCGTTTGGACAGCCATACTCCAACCAGAGCAGCAGCAAATCCCTCGTTCCAGAGAATCTTCCATATAGAGTCCATCACAACGAGCGCCGCACGTGTGATTCTCCTGCCCCCCCCCCTTCCCGTCGGCCCTACGACATCATAGTCCACGCGGCTGTACGAAACGATCCTTCCGTTTCTCCTCCGCATGACGACACAACACACACGACTGCGTTGTAAACACATCCATGGGCGATACCGCGTGAGACGCCACGACCCCCCCCGCCGCCCCCTTCTGGTCCCTCCTACCGAACAACGTTATTCTGAACACTGCCACTCCCCCGAGGGTACCTCAGCTGCATCCATATTTTTCGAATGTGCAACCATGCTTCTTCACAGCTCGGTCCTCTACCTCTCTACCGTACATGCGTTTGCCTGCCCACTCCATGCAGCCATGTACTACACCACCCCCGAAACCATCGACCAGAACGACTTCTGTGGCGACGTCAGCGCGTGGAGCAAGGGCAAGGGTGACATCGAAGAACGCAAAGTGGAGTCGGCCAGCGTGGAGGCACAGGCAGTCGCTGCTCCCAACGCCTAAATACCGCGGTGCCACCCCCTACGGCCGCCACGCTCAATCATCACGGGATCCCGGCCTCACTTCAGTCGCGTTATCCCTTTTCTCAACGTATTCGCGCCCTTCCGCGAGGGAACCCGTGTGTGTGTGTTTTTCCCTTTCATGGACGGCTTGGATAATAACCGTTTGTGCCGGAAAGGGACATTGGGAATTGGTGTTGTTGGGGTATAAGGTTCGAGGTTAGATTGCGCCATCTCGGTCCCATCTTCTGCGTATATCTTGTTTCCCGAGCATCGCCTCAAAAGAACGTTTTTCACATACGCTTGCGGGGGATTGTAACGTACATAAACCGCACGGGCGCAGGGGGGTAAAGGGGAGGGTGTGGAACCATGTATGAACGCACGCCGGAGTACCGTAGTAATGTCGATTCTCTATGAAATGTAGATGGGCAAAGGGGAGTAGGACTGACAAGAAATACTTCTGGAATTCACGCCGCAGTGGCATGTGCTGTGCGTTCTAGCTACAGTAGAGTTTCATCGCATCTGGAAGAAGTGGTGGGGAGTCGGGAGGAGGGAAGACTCGTTCCATGAAGAATGCTTCGTTTTGTGGCGGTTGTCTGTGTTCATTTGATGATAACTTGATGATAGACAATGTATTTTTAGGAATTTAGGAACGGTGAGTGTGACACGCGTTGTTCGTTAGCCCACATGACGCTTAGTTTGACAACGTCATGGATGGTGTGCGTTCGATCCGACTCCATTGCCGTCGTCGGAGCAAGACGTATCTTGCCACGTTGCTGATTATGGATGCAGTTTGATTGGCTTAGCAACATGGGGGGTTGGAAACCATGAAAAAGCACCACGGACGGGGTGAGGGGTAGAAATATCGTCGTGCGGTCGGAAACCGAGGCTCATCCTACGATAGGGGGGCGAACTCCTTCTTGCGTGTCCGTATCTACCAGGCTCGGGATCAACATCTAGCGCTAATCAAGACGCTTGTCTGCCGAGGCAGTCAGATTCCAATCTTGCATCAAATGCGCAAATACGGCACGGCCTGGCAGCTAGCTGTGGTAGCTGATGTCACAGGGATCAACCCCGGCCGTGTATTTTTTGTTTCTCTTGGTTGCTTCCCTCATGATCCGACGTTAATTGAAGAATGTCCGTCAGGCGGATTTTCGCAAGGCGCACCCACTGTCCCAGAGTGGGTTCTAAAGAAGAACGTCTGCTCTGTGTCTGCTATTGAGCAACACATGCATTGTCTTCGTTTCGTAGACCAACATGGGTCTAACTTGTTGTCCGTTTCCGGCACGCAAACACAGGTTACTCATCGGGGGGGGGGGGGGGGGGGGGGGACTCTTATGTTTTGCATGTCTCAGCGGCTAGACCTTTGACCACGCGTCCTCGAGAGGACGGGGCATTGTTCCCACAGGGACGATCACCGATGGCCAATCGTTCGTTCCTACTTGCCAAAGGTGGCTCAAAAACAGTTCCCTACTAAAATCTATCCTATCGATATCACTTCCCGGCCTTATCAACCAAACTTCCTATGCTCCAGTACGGCTACCACCGTCTTCTCCTGGACATTCCATGCCTTAAACATCTCCCTGTATCTTCTTACTTTTCCCAGCTCCGTCATGTACGCTTCCCTCTCATTTTTGTACTACAACAGACCACCCGCCACCACATTAACCCGGTTTTCGCACTCGGAGCCGCATTCGCATTTGAATCTGTCTTCATCGTCTACCTTTTCCAAAATCTTCGTCTACGTTCTCGAAGGCCCATGTCCCCCGCCCTAAAGTTGATCTTCAGCTTTGTCCCTGCATTCAATCTCCATGTAGGTAGTCCTTGAACCGTATTCCTTCTTCGTAAACATGTAGACCTCCGGATCCTTGTTTCTTTGGTTAGATTCTGTTTTTCTCTCTCGGCAAAAGCAACGTATATCTTCTCCTTGAACCCCTCTATGTAGTCCACTTCTGTTTCCCGTATATCACCGTCGTCCATTTCGAACTCCTTAAATACGTCATCTACATATTCTTTCATCCACGGGTTGTCTACAAAACCTTCTCGATTTACTCACTTCGCCTCCCAAGTTAGTCTCGGCAACCTTTCCTCTCCCTTACCCTCCATGCGGTACTGCCATTTTAGCTTTCCTCGCGTCTCTTCCCCATCGTACGGATTGGATCCCCAGTTCTGCCGTAACGGCTGCATTACTTGTTGTACGCTTGGAGCGTCCTAGAATGATTTTTGCTGCTTTCAATCTGCGCCGCCTCGAGCTCTTTGACTACCTTCTTATTTCCTTCCCATACTTCTCCGGCGTACTCTAGCGACGGTACGATTACGCTCTTCAAAGCTGCCAATTCCATGCGTGTATTGAGGTGCCGGTTTGCGAGTATTGGGTGCAGTTTCCCTGCTCGTGCTTTGCCCTTTGCCGGAACCTTGGAAATGATGCGTGCATTTCATCTGCAGTCTTTTGCGATCTTTACTCCGACATAGGTGTACTAATCCACTACTGCGAGCTCCTCGAACTCCCACTTCCATCTATACTCTACTAGGTTCTTCCGGTCCTCGTTGCATGCCATGATGACTGCATTGTTCGTAACGTTGGCAGACAATCTCCACGTAAAGCAAAATCCTTCGCTGCCTCAATCTGCAGTTAAGTCCCTCAGGGGTGTCAGACATCCCAACAAAATCATCCGCAAACAGCATTCCCGACACCATTGTTTCCGTGTCCCCTACCTTTACTTCCTTCCCGACTGCCTCTACAACTTTCAACAGATCGTTGATGAACACCTGGAACAATGTTGGGGACAAGATGCAACCTTGTGGCACCCCCTGTTCAGCGTTGAAAATGTTTGCCAGTTCTCCGTCTATCATTAGTCTACATCATGACAGCACTTTTCGTACTGTCATCTTCATCAGCTCTCCACATTTCCCCTTCCCCTTTATCCCATAGACTAAATGGACAATTGTTTCCACCGCCCATTTCTCCATACTGTATCGTATATTTTTTGCGCGTCTAAGGAGAAGCAGCGTCGTCTTCCCCGCCCTCTTTCTCCCTTGGACTGTTCTCTGAGGGAGGGGGAGACCGGAGACCCAAATCAAGGTACGAAGAATCCGCTTGTTTGGTTCTGTACATTGTGGTCAAAAGATGAAGATGCAACGCTCAACAGAATACCTTGAAGCTCTCAGGCTCTGTACATTGCGGTCAAAAGCTCACGATGCAAAGTTCAACAGAAAGCCTTGAAGCTCTCAATGAGTGACATTTCTTGGTTAGCTCGTTGATCGTAATCATGATCGGGTCATGACTGTGACCCGATCATGACCCGGTCATGACTTGGTCATAATCCTGACTCGGCTCTCACCGACCGGAGCATGGTCGGATCATGGACCGAGTCATGGCTCGGCCATGACTTAGTTCGTTGTTTCACTTTCGGGGGAATGTTCGGCCAGACTGCTGGATCATACCGAGTGGTCATTGTGTCATGACTGGGTCACAGTGAATGCACCATGACCGAGAAATGATCTTGTCATCACCCCATCGTGACTCAACCATGACCCGATGGCCTGTCTAGATTGATTGAATCAACGCCAGCCTGCAGTAGCACCGATGATGGCGGCACCCCCACCTAGAGCTTATCCACCCAGCGTCAACCCACCACCTTTCGTGTGGGTTTGGGGTTAGGGTTGGGGTTAGTGCAAGGTTTTTAGCCGGTTTAATGTCCATGCCAAACCAGATAATAATCTGTTGCGTAGGAGCCCCAGGATTGCGTTAGTCCTGACCGAGTCATGAACTGGCTATGACTCGGTGGGTTTGTCCTGACCTATGTAGGGCCGTGACCGAAACATGACCTCGATCAATGACTCCATCTCGATGACTGGATCATGACCCGATCATGACCGAGTCATGTCATAACCGAGTCATGATCGGGTCATGATCATGTTATCTATATACTCACAGGATGGTCGTCGTGACGTGATACATTTCTTGTTATTAGTATGGAAAAAAGAAAATGGCTCGATTTTTGTATTTCTACGGCAGTATGGACCAGACGCCGACTGTACATAGAAGTCGTACGAGTGTCGACTTAGTTGTGCTGTCACAGCATCTTCCACGCACTTCTGCCAGTGCTGGTTTGTTGATTGGAGTCTTGTAGGTCGAGATACAGCAGTGGGATTCTCGGGTTGTGGAGGCAAAAGTGAACCAGAGCAAAAAATTCCAAGCATGGTATTTTTCCGGCCCCCAGCCCAGGCACAATTGATTAATATCTCCACTATGCAGACGATTCACACAGCAAACTATATATCATGTGAAAGCTATGAACGAGAGCTTTCGAATGAACACACTTTTGGCTGCGGCAAATTAGATGGGCACGAGCTACGCTGGGTTGGCCGTTTTCATAGAATCGGCGAGAAATAGGAAAAACGCGCAATCGACGACGAAGACTTTTTTTGCCGCAAAAAAAAGTTCCATTTTTGGAATCCCCGCAAAAAATGGGTTCTAAAAACGTTTGGTTGGAACCTCCGAGCGTCTGCATAGCAGAGGAAAATTTCAAATTTCTCAGGGCGTGCAGGGTACGCTTTTGCCACAGATCTTGGGCGGGACCATGGACCCCGATACAGATGCGCTGCTGCATGTGAAGGGAACTCTGCCTGCTGAGTACGAGCTCGGAGAACTCGAGGTGCACAGAGGGGCTCCACGAAAGTACCGCATTGGTCTGAAAGCAAGACACAGCAGCCAGGCCGGCCAGCCGTTACTTCAGTGGCACAGCCGGACGTTCACCACGAAGAGTGCACGTGGCAGAGACAGAGCCCGCCGAGTCTCAAGCATGCAGAACCATCACAGCGCCAAACATGGTTTAGACCTTGCAGCAAAGACCATCCAGCATGAAGCGATCCAGCAACCACCCTCCCGGGTTACAACGGGTGTCAGACTTGCAGCTCCCGCACCTGGTTCTCTTCAAGAACCTGGTGTTGGAGGCGCCGAAAGGTTGCGAGAAGGGTGCGGCGGCGCCAGAGAGGGCGCCGGGAGGAAGAAAGGAAGCCTAGGAAAGAGGGCCCGGCGAGAAAGAGCTACCATGCTGCGCGAGGAGCTCGTCAAAGCCTTTCCAGGCGCACTCGAACTTCAAGCTGGGACGCTGGCAGAATTGTTGCGGGCGTGGAAGGCAACTGAGCCTGAGATGGCCGATGAGGCGATGAAGAGGTACATGAACAAGGGCACGTACAACACATCGCAGGCTAGAAAAAAGATCAAGCGTGCTCGCGAGGCAGATCTCAGAGCACGGGCGGTTGAGGCGGCGGCGGATGAATTTCGCGCGGACAGCATCGAGTATTTTGATACCGTGTTGAGGGATGCGCAGAAGGCCATCAGTGCGGCAGCGGCACTGGAAGATGTGAGTGTTTTTTTTGAGTGTGTAAAGAACTGCTGTACAGCAGTAATGTACTGCCGCAAACTACTTTCTCCTTTAACCACTGTACTGCTGTGTACAGTGTCACCACTCGAATAAGTATACTGCTGTAAAACACTGCTGTTAAGTTGCTGCTGCGTCCGCCCAGCACCATGGGCGCCTCTGCTGTGCAGTGCACATCCGAAAGCAATACTGTAACGTTCATTTCATCGACAACAGTTGTTTGACCCCCCCGTCCCCACACCCTCGCTCTCTCCCTCCGGCATTCTCCACAGGACGAGGCAAGCGCACCGGGGGCTGCCCTGTCCAACTACCAGCTGGCCCACGTGGTTCAACAGGCCATGACGTTGCTCCATCTGTACCTTCTCCAGCAAGACGGGGTCAACCGCACCGATGCGCTAGCAGCTGCCGCACGAGTGGGCAGACGAAGCATTGGAACCGTAAACGACTGGGAGCATGGTTTTCTAGCACGCGGCAAAATCAAGCCGCCAGAAAAAGGTCGCTTCCAGCGGACCTTTCTCCTGGAGCTCGACGAAGGCATCCAAAAGCTGGTGAAGCAGTGGATGCTGGACAACTGCGGCATACTGAGGCGGTGAAGCCAACAAGACGGCAGAAGATTTCCGCAAGTGGATCAACAAGACCATCATGCCCAAGCTGGAGGCGCTGGAGACGGAGGACTTCGACCCTTTCGACGGCTTGAGAGTGCGGCGGGAAGAACCAACAGAGAAAGATGGCGAGCCCCCCGTTCCCGGGAAGCGTTTCATCTCCCTGTCTACAGCAACGGCATGGCTGAAGAAGCTAGGGTGCGAGTACCACGGTGCCAAAAAGGGTCTCTACTTCGACGGCCACGACGACCCGGAGACCCTCAAGTACCGGAACAACGACTTTCTGCCGCAACTGTTCGACGCTCGCGACCGCATGGACGTGTGGATTCCGGTGCCGAACGAGGAAGCCGAGGCCTGGGGCATTGATGTGAACGAAGTGCCGGAGGCCGACCGCATGCAGGAAGGTGACGGTGTCTGGGTGAGTGTCGACGATCTACAATCGGCGTTGGCGGACCTGTCGCCTGACCTGCAAGCTAAAGTACAGAGCAAGAAAACGTACCCGGACGGGAAGAAGGCCTTGCTTCTCTACCAGGACGAGAGCATCTTCCGAGGTTAGTGGGAAGTCAAGTCAAAACATAAAAATATTGTAGAGCAATGCAAAAATTGTCGTCCACCACGTGAAGTTAAAGTTGCAAAAATACTTCGACAAGGTTGGGTTGTGTGCAGTGGTCTCGCACATACAGCAGTACTGTGTAGGAGTACTGTACATTACAGCAGAGTACTGAACGTTTTTGTTGCACTCTCTGATTCTTTTTTTTTTGGCCGCCCCTGTTTTCTTCTTCTTTCTTCGGCAGCCAACGACGACCAGAAGTGGGCGTGGTTCAGGAAAGACCAGCGTGTGGTAATAAAGAAGTCACCCGGCCAGGGCATCATGGTGTCAGGAACGATCATCCACAACGTTGGCTTCTTTTCGGCGTCGCCGAGCCAGGTAGCTGAGGCCGAGAGCAACCGGAAGAAACGTTGCCGTGAGTCGGCCGCTGCAGCTAGACGAGGGGAGAACATCAAACCAGAGAAGTACCGGCCAATCGACATGCTGCATGTCGACGACGACGGCAACTATTGGTCCTTCCATCTCTTCGAGTACGGCAAGAACAAGGAGGGCTACTGGACCGGTCTGAAAATGCTGGACCACACGAACGACGTCCTGGATGTGGTGGCCGTCCTCTACCCCAACCACAAGCCTGTGTGCCTGTTCGACTGGTCGTCCTGCCATGACTGCCTAGAGGTCGGCGCGCCAAGGGTGAGCGGGATGAACGTGGGTTTCGGTGGAGTGAGAAAGGGAGAAGAGCTTGCGGCGATGGATGCCGTGACGATTCTGGAAGATACGCCACTCCTCAAAGCTGGCACGACACAGCACTTGGTTTTCCAAAGGGGGGACGACCCCCCCTTCTACGCCGAGCACCTCCGACCGTCGGAGTATGTCGGGAAGCTGAAGGGGATGCGGCAGATCTTGTTCGAGAGGGGGTTGCTGAAGAAGGGCATGTCGAAGTTGGGGGGGACGGGCGAGAAGAAGGACCTCAGCATGAGCATGGAGCATGTTCTGGGAGAGCAGCGAGACTTCAAGGAAGTTGACTCTAGTCTGGTGCTGTTGATGCGGCGGCACGGGGGAGTCTGCGTGATGCTCCCCAAGTACCACTGCGAGTGCAACCCCATCGAGCTCGTTTGGGGCCGTGCGAAGGACTGGACGCGCCAGAACTGCACATATTCGATGGAATGCTTGCGCAAAAACGTGCCGTTGAGCTTTAGACCGGAGAAGGATAGACAGGCCATTGCGGTAGTCCAGGCTTACTGCAAGAAGGCTTACACGCATGCCCTCGTGTACCTGAAGGCACGTGCACTTGGACCCACGGGCAAGGAGATCTACAAGAAATTCAAGTCCCACAGGCGCCCGACGCCGAACACGTGGAGGAAGTAGAGAGGCATGCGTTTGTATTCCTTGTGCTGTCCAGCACTGACTTTTTTCCCCCTGTTTTCGCCACATTTTCTCATCTTTTTTACCTGTTTTTTTTTTTTTTGTGTGAATACACGTATTTTGTGCGGTTGCTCGTTGCCAAAAGTTGCTGTAGGGTGATACAGTACAGTAGGTGAAGGGTACCTGCGTTTGTGCGGTGTTTGGGGGTGTTTTACTCGACGTGACGCATGTTTGCAACCAAAAAAAAGAAAAAGAAAAAAAAAAAATCGACGCAAAAAAAAAGAAAAATGGTGCAAAAATGACCCAGGACTTACGTTCGAGCCCCGGCGAAAGGCATAATTTTCCCTTTTTTTTTTTTTTTCCGACTCGCTACTCTTTTGCGCCTCTTCGCGGGCGTTAATAACATGTTATTTTTTTTTTTGTTCTCCACTTCAGTCAAAAGTTATGGAGGGACAACGAAATTCGGCCTCAGGAAAAATACCACTGTATGTATCGTAACCTTCTAGAGGTCAGGTCAGGGGTTCGAATCCCGGCGTAGGCGAGCTTTTCTTGCAAAGTGAGTTTTTCTCTCGCTTCCGCTCCTGGCCAAGTGGATAGCGCTAGTTCGTGTGTACACAGAGGAAGAGAGTGCTGAACTCTTCTCGCATTCAAAATTCAAGGCGAAGTACCGCAGGAGGGGAGGGTAGAGAGAGGCTCTTCTGTGTGACCACGGGTTGGAATAAACGGCACTAGTGCTGTGAGCGCTGATTTGAAGTGAAGAACAAAAATAAAATACATAAAATAAATAAATAAATAAATAAGAATACTACTGAAAGTCGTGATGCGAGTGTCGAGACTCTTGTGTTGTCACGGCAGCTTCCTGTCGTTGCGATTGCCATCGTCGCTTAGGCGCTTGTGTCTTCAACCCTTCTTAGCCGGCCTTCAAACTTCAACCTGATAAGTCTCCGTGGTAACTTCTCCGCGAATGAGTCATATGCAGTTAATGACCTGCGCTTTGACTTTCACGATGGGTATTTTACCTCCCCGTCTTGCATTGGTGAGTACCTGCGTTATAAGGAAGGATTGCATGAAAGTACGATTTTGTTTCCTTTGTGTTTCCTTCCCCTATCCTTCTTTGTGTACCACATGTGTGTCATTAATCGTCGTCGGCCTCCTCGATACTTGTGGATTACCTTTTGGAAATTATGGGAATCCCTTCATTCCGGGAGAGCCATAGGTCGGCATCCGGCCTTTTCTTTTTTTGTATGCACTTTCCTTCTTGTGAAGTTTTGACGTTGCGCTTGCCATCGCCGCTTAAGCGCTTGTGTCTTCAAACCTTCTCAGCCGGCCTTCAAACTTCTTGTTGATCAGTCCCCGTGGCGACTTCTCCGCGCATGAGTCATATGCAGTTATGACCGCGCTTTGACTTTCACGATGGGTATTTTACCTCCCCGTCTTGCATTGGTGAGTACCTGCGTTGTACGGAAGGATCGTTCCACGACGTAAACGTCGACGTCTCCGTTTTTTTTTGTTCCCTTCGCACTCCTTCCTTGCGGCGGTTTTCACACCGGCTTTGAAAGTGGGGTGCAATTGCCTATCTTCGTACCTTCCTCGTCGGCCTTCTCCATCGTTATGTACATCATGTATACCTCCATTTTTCGGCTTTTCGATTCCGATAGACAAGACAACGGACTGACATGTCCCTTTCACCCCCGACGGGACCACGCGCTCGTCGAGTGCCGAAATTCTTCACCACTTCCTTGCCTCTCCCAACACCGTCCCTTCTTCCCGCCCCTACAAGTCCTCTCCCCTTCTTCTTCTTCTTTCCTTCCTCCCGGACACTCACCACCATCCGTCCTGGATGTTGGCCCCCAGCCCGATTGGGGGGCGGGGGGCCAATCCTTCACCCTGGTTCAGTCATAATCAAAAACTCAATGATGTCAAAGCCCCGCTGCCTGCTGTAGTGCGCATCATATGTCAAGTCCATCTCGCCAGCGGGTCGAGAGCAGGAAACGATACCTTTCGGATAACTTTAGGGCGTAACGCCAGCATCATGGATCTCATCCTCCACGTTTTCAGCGGCGGATTTATCCCCAAAAACCTCTGCAGGAAGAGTGCGCCATGCCACTACCGTCGCCACACCCAGGGCAAGAGCGCACGAGTAGAAAACAAACCGGTGGTCGATCAAACCAAGGATGTCGGAAGAAATTGACCACGCGAACAAGACCGCGAAGCCAACGGCACTCGTGAACCGACCCAAGCTCCCCGCTGAGCTGTACAGCCCGCTGAGCTTGCCCCGCAATCTGGAGGGGACGATGCTAGTCGATGCCACTGTCAACGTGATGCTCACCTTTGTTCGAGAAGTCAGGCGTGGGAAAATTAAGGAGTGTCCGTATAAGGTATACCTCCGCGGAATGGAAATTGCCCCAGCGGAAATAGGAGAGAGCACATCCAACAATATAAAGACGGGCAACATCATACCCACCAAGACGTAACATCTGGTTGCTTGATTCATCGCGTGACGTATGTATGCATGCAGCAAGGAAGAGGCTTTCAATGGTGCGGGAGAACCTTTCGTAGCGTTTGAATGGCCCATTTCCATGTGTTGCTCTTCGGGGACTCACCGCTGCCAAGCAACAGTTGACGACGGTCACACTCGCAACCGACGCTGCGAACAGGGTAGTGTAGTTCCAGCTGAAGAGCTTGGCGTTTGGGGTAGCAAGCAAGGTGGAAATACCTAGAAGACAGCCTGTGCGCATCCACGTCACCGCTCCAATAATCTTGATCACCGACGGAAATATGAGCAGCTGAGCCACGACCATAATACAACCCGTCATGAACAGAACCTGTTCGGACGGAAGCGCAAGTAACGATCGCGCATTTCTTTGATTATTTGACATGATGGTGAAAATTAACGTGATGAACATGGAAACCCTTGGAGCATCCAAGTCGGAATCGAGGTTCAGCAAGCGGGAAATACAATACACAGTCATGGCTCCGTGGCAAAGGCCCTCGACCCTCTTAACTCTAGAACCGGTTCCGTGAAAAATCATGGTTCTGGCAAGTTGGTTCGGGGCTCGGGGTTCGGGGAACGAAAAACAGGTTCTTTGGGTTCTGGTGAGAACGACCCTTATGTCGGAGCCCCGTCTCACAGGCACCCTCTTATATCGGAGCCACGACTGCTGCACTGGAAGCCGTCAACCTCGTCGATTATCCATTTTTCGAGAAACAAACACATCGTTACGTCGCCTCCACACCTTGCCGATCTCCATGGTGCCCCAGCCCAGCCCTCCAACACTCACGGTGGAGAGCGCCCAAAGAGGAAACACCTCTTCAAAACCCGATTGGAGGCTCTATCGCATTTCGGTTGGTTGAGTCAAAGACGGCACGGGGAGGTTTAGCGGACAGGCCGTTAGTTCAGCGAATGGCACAGGTGCGCGTTGGTGCAGGGCCAAACACGGTTTCGGTTCGGCGGTCGCCACGAAAAAAGAACGTACAGACGCCGAGACATCTCAGGAGCTCTCACGAAGCAGTCTATTCTCACCATGGCGGAGGGTTTCGGAGTAACAACGTTTCTCTTCTTCAGATATGTGCAACACATGCGTGCAGACATACCCGCGTCGTGAAAAGCCGTGATGTATGCCAAATAACAACCCGGGGGTTGCCGCGGCCTCGTCTGAAGCTCTTTCCATTTTCCCCCAGGGACGGTATGTCTGTCTGGAGTCGAGTACGATGGGAGTTGGTCACGTTGGTGACGAAAGGATTATTCAAGTCTGGATATGAGAGTCCATCGATGTGAAGTGAAACAAGGAAAGATGGAAGAGACAACATCTTTCTCCGTTTTTGATTTTGAACCGTGATGGTTGGTGGAGTTCCTTTAAATTGTATAACCTTCCCGGCATACGTCTGCAGCCTATTGAATGTGCTTGACCTCCCCCGGAAACCCGTCCCACATGCTGGACGACATCTATCTACATATCTTGAGAATATAGAATCAGCGATGTGGGTAGTGGGCGGAGCGATGCTTGGTGTGCGCCGCAGGTGCAACCTCCCACACGACTGACAGTTGTGCTAAACCGCGCATGGGACACCCATGGGTGGCCCATGGGTGGCCCATGAGCACCTCATCACCCATGGGCAGTCCATGGACGGCCCATGAAGTGCCCATGAAGTGCCCACCATGGGCACTTCATCCTAGAACTTCGCCACCCGCATATCAACCTAGAACTTAGCTACCTGCACATCAACCTAGACATTCGCCACCAACGCCAACCAACCTAGCACGCATCGTGTGGGCTTGGGGTTAGGGGTAGGGTTAGCGTTAGGGTTTTAGGGTTATTTGCCGCTATCATGCCCGTTCCAAAGCACATAGTGTATTGTTTAGGAGTACACTGGTTCCGGTTGAAGCGCTGTATTGGCCGCCCATGGGCTTCCCATGGGTTGCCTATGGGCCGCCCAGCCCATGGGCTACCCATGGGCATGCATGCCCATGGGTCAGCCATGGGTCAACCATGGGCAACAAAGTGCCCATGGGTGGCCCATGGGTCACACATGGGCTGCCCGTGAGTGTCTCATGGGCCTTTTAGCAAAACTGTAGAAGGTGTGGGAGACCCCGCAGGTGTGGGGGGCTCCCGACTGCACCACGAAAGGATAAAGGTCTCCATGGACCGCAAACGGCCACCAGAATAAATGTGTCCTCCTTCTAGTGTACGAAAACAACACAGAGTGTGCACTTTTGAACCGATTGACCGGGTGGTTGATCCACCACAGAACTACTTCTAGTAGTCATCATTACAATCTACCAGCACACAGCAAGCAGCAGTGATATCTGGAGAACATGTACACCTCGTTCGCCCCATGGTGACTGGTGGATGCCGAGATATGGCCCAAAGTGATGCCATGGCACCATCTCGGCGGTGTCGAAAACAAGCTTGTTTACGACACCGTGCGAAACGTTCCAAAAAAACTCCAATAGGCACGAAACTAATCGAGCTGTGTTCCCAGACCCCCGGCAGTGACACAAGCCGTCATTCAGCCAAACCCAACACGTGGTTGCCGCTATTCATGTACACCAACATGTTGCCTTTCTCAAGACGGCCTTACGACGCCCGAGAACGAGGGCGCAGGTGGAGGGGAGAAATATAGGGGGAATGGCGAACAAATGGAAGTAAAAAAGGGATACGGTGGGGTTGGGAAGACGGGTGACGAAGGTGGAATGCCCACGGCGGGGGGCACATGTTCAAAAGAGGCGGACAGGGGTGGACTATCTGTAGGAGGTGGGCGTACGGGCGGCAAGGGGTTAGACTCACTTACCCAAGGGGTTGGAGGAAGCGCTCAACCCTCAGTTTCCACGAGCAAAGCGTAAAAGGAGGGTGGGGGATGGAAAGCCAAGTATCCTTTGCCGAGTGCGCCGGAGGGCATCAGCGATGGAAACGCCGCAGCAGCGGAGCAAAGTCAGCAAGAACGTGCGGATCGGGCACTGCTTCGAACGGTGCATAGGTTTGGGAGAAAGGCGATTGGGGAAGGGCGCTTGTCAGAGTTCGTGTAGACTACTTCCCCGAATACCGCCGAATCTGCTGCGAATTTCATGGACGGAAGGATTGAAATTGTTCCGGTCCATTTGCTTGTAGTAGTCCCAGTACTTCACCGACATGGCGCCATTTTACCTGGGATTATCGTGTTGCTTTCGCAGTATTTTCACATCCCGTTATTCAAGGGTGTCGTGCTACTGAAGTGCTGAAAAAGGCAGAGTTTTGGCTTCAGATGCACATCGGTTCCCTCGACGAGGAAGCCTCCTCGACGATGACAGTAGTGAACCATATATGTTTTGCGTAATGACGCCCTGCGATGTTATGCCTCTGATTCGATCAACCAAGAGAGGTGCACGTGTGACTCCGGGACTTCGGGCACAGCCAGCTCTCAATACAAATGTCAGCGACAAGAAGGAAGGAGTGAATTCTCACGTCGGAATACGACAGTGAAACAGCATGTTTTGAAAAAGTCGGGACTCAGTTTGACACCGCAACTTGGGACAACTATAGCCTTGTCTATGAATAGAATATTTCGGAGACGTCGGAACTCAGTTTGACACCCCTACTTGCGACACGGAAAGCCTTGCCTATGGATGTCATCGTCAAGAAGTATGAGTGAACTTCGTGAATACCGTGTTTCCGTGAAGTTCTATTTCTTGAACGACATGGGACCACGTGTTTTTGGATATTGCAGGTGTTGAAGAACTTTTACTGCTAACGCGATCACCGTGTCGTACTACCGAAAACTCAGAACCTTGTTTCAGATACATAGGGTTTTCTCGACGAACGACCCTCCTCGAAGCTGACAGTGAAACATATATCGCGCATGACGCCCTGCACTGTGATGCCTCTGATTCGATCAAACAAGGGGAATATACGGGTCAGAGTTGGGACTCGATTCAGATCGGGACTTCTGGCACATATAGCCCTCGATATGAATGTCATGGACAAGCAGAAAGGAGTGAAATTCTCACGTAGGGCTACGACAGTGAAACAGCATGTTTGGAAGGAGTGGGACCCGGCTACACGCGGCAACATGGGACACCGAAAGCGTGCCTATGAAAGTCATCGGCGAGAATGAATGAGTGAACTTCTTGAAGATCGTAATTCCATGGAGCTCTATTTCTTCAACGGTGGTACCAATTTCTTTGGGATGCCACAGGAGTTTTGCCCCACGTTCACTCCTAAGCTCGCATGTCGACCACCGCGGCGTGCTACTGAAAACACAGAATATTGCTTCAGATTCATATCGGTTACATCGACGAGTTTCCCTCCTCAGAGGTGACAGTGAAGCGGATATATTTAGCAACTATGCCCTGCGATATTTTGCATCTGGTTCGATCAAACCAGGGAGATATGCATGTCGGAATCGGAACTCGGTTTCACACCGGGACGTGGGACACCGAAATATTGGCTTTGGGACCGTATACAATGTCCAAGAGGATGAAGATCTCGAACCCGCCTCATCCATTGTGGTGATGGATTCAAGAGGTTGGATGCAGACGGTTCCTCCTTGTCCTTGTCTTGTCGACGCCAACGCAGCGCATGCCAGATCAATGCCGGTACCCCCGAAATGAATGGGCAGAGGCAAGAGTTCGGGGGGGCGCACAGCAGATGGCAATGATACTGTCACCAACGATGGTTTCATTGACGGCAGTCTGCCCAAGAATGGCGTGGAGAGGGGGGGGAAAGTGGGAAAGGTAACATTAGCGGGTAGGATGGCGACAGTGCAAGAATAGGAGTAGCAGCGATGGCCAGGAGCATCCCGACAGTGATACCTACTCGGGCAAGAGGGTAGGAGTAGCGCCGATGACAAGGAGGGTGACGGCAGTGATGCCTACTCGGGCAAGAATAGGAGTAGCGGCGAACGATCACAACTGGGGGCTTACGTTCGGCGACGACTACGACAACGAGGGCGTGTACTCCACAGAACGTGCAAAACGTGCGGCAGAACGCCGCAAGGCATTCAATCAGCGGCGAGTCTTTACCACGATTATAGCCAAGAGCGAGGAGAACGTGGACGAAACCTTGCGTTCAGTTTCGCCTGACCAGGCCCTGGATATACAGACCCACAGTCGGGGCATACGTCCAGTACGTGCTCGGTGAGCAGACGACCGCGAATCCAGCGCAGGCCCCCAACAAAGGGAGGCCGAAACGTTTCGACTCGCGAGGAAGACGTCTTGATGTCAAGCGAGAAGAGGTGTGATCGCACATCGGGTGTACTGCGACACCCGCCAAACCGCGGGGGCGGAAGGACCATTCCCGGAGACCGACAAGGATGGAGGATTCAGCCGAAGATGGACATCGGCGGACGAGAAAAAGAACGAAGCCGAATACGTAGTTGACCCTGGCATCGTTCCTATAGCGAGACGATAGGTAGGTGTACATCTAAATGTATAGCGGCAACAACATGTATCTCGGGAACCCCATGCTGGGTTCGGCCGAATATCGACTTACGCGACAGCTGGTGGGCATGGGAACACAGCGCGATTGGTTTCGTGCTTGTTGGAGGTGTGTTCGGAAAGTTTCGCGCGATGTGGTAAATATGCATATTTTGCGACACCGCCGAGGTGGTGCCGTGACACCACTTTGGTCCATATCTCGGCGACCACCGGTCACTATGGAGAGAATGAGGGCTTGCGCGACAGCGAAGAGCCGTAGGAACACAGAGAATGGAAGTTTGAAGTATTTTTGGGGTGTCGTAAATAATTTTTTGCGACGCCGGTGTCGAAAATAGCACTACCGAATAACGAAAGAGGCAACTACTAACGCGACACCAAACCAATCTGTGGGGGGGGAAGGAGTGAGCTGCATGTGTGCCGTAAAAGAAACGAGCTGCCATGTGTGCCGCGTCTTGAGAGAGACTACAAATTCCACAGTTCATTCAGCCCTGACGACGTAAAATCCATGCCGCCCCTTGCCTAAGGTGATAGCGATACGTAGACACATTGGACTGAAGAAACGTCGTGGTGTGTGGCACAGAGCATGCATTGTAAGGGTAGGAAGTCCAGTGAAGGCCAAACAAAAACAAATGAGTCGGTTAGAGTCGGTTAGGCCCGGTTAGGCCAGTCGGTTCGTCTCGGTTCGGTGTGGCACCGAGGAAATCTACGAATAAGTTAGAGAAAAGAGAGACGCGTTTTTCAAAAGTGACAGAAGGTTTTGTACCAAACTTGCAGAAGGCTGGGCGGGGGACAGGAGGCACACATCTTCAACCTCACTCAAAAATCTGTAGTTGCAATCTCCCGAACATCGATGGAACAAAAAAAGTATTTTAGAGAAGAAGCATTTGATCGCCAACTCTAAACCAAAGTAAAACCAGGATGCGGCGCGCCTTGGGCCAATATCCTGGTGTCAAAATCAAACATAGGTTTGAGAATTTCGCTGACGAAAACTGGATCCCTATCGGGCTTCAGACCTGTACTCCACTCGGCCCGGTGACATTTTTATACATATATATTTCGAATTTGGACGGGTCATGCGATGCATGTCGGGGGTTCCAAGCATTCCCATTCCCATGCAACACACTATGTAGAATCAAAATCGACATATCCGAGGAAACGTACCTGAGAGGATTCGATGTTTCTCTGCTCGACGGGTGACCCTAATGGTAGTCTGGTTGCATTGAATGTCGATGAAGGTCGTCATGTGACCTCAACCTAGTCCTCCTTAGCCTTAACCGACATACAACGTATTGTGGCTCCCACCTCGGCTGCTTCGGTCAGAAAAAGACGAGGAACACCGGGACCTGCTCTGAGTGACGGGTTCGATTGAGATCCCCGTGAGCGTAGCCCGTCCAAGAGCCACCAGGTTACTTTCAAGCAGGCCCAACAGCCAGAACAATGCATGAATGATCAACAAGTTCGTTCATTCCACAGAAGTTTGGGGACCTGCAGCTGGGGATGGATTCGTGCCGATTGTGTTCCCTTCTGTTGTCTCGCCGATTTTACATATGAGAGAACCATATCCGGATCCCCACCAAATTGCCAGCCCGCGCGTCTCACCTGGACAACGCACACGAGAAACAAGAGGGGCTTGACCCTGGGCACGGACAGCAAGCCGCCAGGGCCGCAGAGCCTCTGCTCTTCTCGTTTGCGGATGAGGGGTGGCTCACGGGTATCGAGGCCACCTTCCTTGTGCGCCGCTCGGCTTCCGGAGTCATTCACGCTACGGGGCTCCTGTGCTGCTTGCTGAGCAGAGACGTCCTCGTCCCCCAGTGAAGTGTAGGCTAACGCCCCACCTTTAGGGGGACGTCGGACAATCGTTCGATCCCGCGCGGGTGAGCTTTCGGCGGAAAGGCCGGACGTCGCCTCGCCGCTACTCACGCTGATGGATGGTACACACGGCGCAGGGAAGGAATGCGCCGGGACCAAGGTTGCTGAGTTATGAATAGCGTGTATGCCTGTGGAGAGTCATGCGTGATCCGTGTAGTACACGCCCCTGAAAAATTGCCCTAAACCTGCACGATGTGCTCTGTTTTCTCGCGACTTTGCTCTGTCCAAACGTCTGCCTACATGTAGGTCTAGATGCCCCAACCAAGCCTCTCACTTCAATAGGAGACAACTACAAGAAACTTGGCGCCGAGTGTCCACAACAGCGTCCAATGAATGGCACGCACGCCCCTGGCTAAGCAATACTATTGCACAGCCACGTGCCCTTTGAAGCACTGGTCGGCGTTATTCTCACCTACTAAATCTCGATCTTGAACAGGTGTCCTCGAAATCCTTAGTTTCGGGAACGCACGCAATCACTATCGGCAGGATTAGGAGCGCCAAGCCCACCCCGACGAGGTTCGGAAGCAGGAACGGAAACCTGGATGGGATGTGCGAGCGGGGCGCCCAGCCGACAACAAACAAGCTTAACCGGAGCTTCGTGTGAAGACAAGGGAACCTCAGCTTGACATCCCGATAAACAGCACGGAATGGAGAGCATGTCAAAAACCCAAGAGCCAGCGTGCTAAGTGAGCATCCTGTGACCTTGTCCAGCATCAGATCAGCACGTTAACCTCGCGTTTGTTTCGTTACTGTCGGGTAACGCGCCGTTGGGGCTTCCCTGGACTATCTGAGTTACCATGTAGCGTCAAATTCCTCGCCCCTTGACGCTTTCAAGGCTTACGCACAAGCGGTTTGGGGTGCCAAAACGTGCCGTTTACCACAAAGGACCCTTATGGAAGCTGTGATCACTCGACACCCCGGACGATAAACTGGGTTCGGACAGTGTGACGAAGTGGTTGATCAAGCGCCACACAGAACGTAGTCAGGCGACAGCAACCCCCTCTTCCTCCAGAACGTTCGCTCCTAGAAAATGCACCACAGATTGATGTGAGATCGGGAATGTCGGTACATTGATGATGGGGTTGCTGGTTAAGCACTTACCTCCCGAACAGACCTGTGCCAGAAAACACGTTCGGGTAGTGATCAACCGGCTGCACCAGGAGTCCCCCCATAGCCGAGCCGAAAACTATAGTAACAGCTTTGGCACCTGATGGAAGAAGAAGCGGAGAATCGGTGCGAAGGGTGCAAGACCTTGAGGAAGAGAATTTCAGGCCTTTCCGCAATCTGTACAAAGTCAACGCCCTCTAGAGTTGTTGCGAGGGCCGCGAGGTCCCTAAACGTCAACCGAGGGGAGCGTGAATCCTTGCCCCACTACGTTTTGACATCAGCCACAAGTTGAGGGCGCATCGATGCGCCCCCTCGCTTAGGGTTTTCTGGGCACCCCTCACCATCGATGTAGGCCATCGCTTGCACCACGTGCGAATTGGTCGTGCACACTTCGTACACGGTAGTCCTGATCGCGGGCATGATGCCATTCATGACCCCGAGGACGAACCTGGGAGGGACAATCGCATGCAAATGACAGCGTGTCTTGGAGTATAATGCGCGCTGAAGTGCGGCACGGTTGGAGATCGCTTCAATACAAGCAGCGCATACCACGCAATGGGCTATCCTGCACTACAGTAGCTTGAGACAACCTGCGATGAACATGAAGAACCGCGATGAACAGCGCAGTTTTCTTCAAGTTTAACACGACAAGCGCTATTCTTCCTACTTAATAACCAATTCAGTGCGGGTTGTTGGTTGCTTCGGGAGATCTGTTCGTTGTGGATTGCAGGGCAACGAAAACAGCTGCAGAAAGCCTGCACCCATGACGTTCTCCAACCAGCGGCGGACACATTTTCCCAGGCGTTTGGGCGTTGCTCAGAAGCAACGGGCACGGGGCCACCCGGGCCAAAGTCGAATTCCAACCTCATTATTTAACAATTTGATCATTGTTTCGGCGCACACAGGTCGGACACCGCCATTGTGAACCTTCCGCAACTTCTGCCAGTTCCCCCCCGTGGCCATAACCCACCTGGACGAAATGGCGAGCTCGTAAGTGGTGGACAGACCGAATGTCAGCGACAGCACCGCGACAGCCAATAGCCCGACGAGAATCACGGGCTTCCTCCCTACGGAATCGGAAGCGTACCCCCACAAGTATCCGCTCAGAAAATGTCCAAGCATGTACGCGCTGGCCACGTAGCCGGCATAGAATCCTGTGCGGGGAATCACCATCGGGGAGTTGGGCAGCAGAAAAATCAATGCCGACGAGTTCTGTAGCGCCAATTCAAGCAACACCTTGCGGGGGGAAATCGCATCGTCCGTAAGGCGTGCGAAAGCGGCGGTGTTGAGGTCTGAACAGGTTCAGAGGAAACAGAGGCTTGGCACTGTCTTGTAATCGTAGGGGGTGGACCACTTCTTGCTAGCTTTGTTTGAGACGGACACCAGCCTCAAGACGAAGAGCTCCATACCCACATAATCACGTCAACATCGGCAGGAGATTTGACGTTCCGCAGGAAGGAGGGCTTACCCAGCTCTTCAACAAGCAAGCGCTGGCGGTGCGGAAGTAAGTGTGTTTTGGATTTTAAAAGCAGATAAATTACCCTACTCACGCAGGACTGCCTTTAATCCGAGGTCCTCTTTCCTTTGAACATGTGTGTGTGGTTGGTTCAAACGAAGTGTTCTCCAAATCAAACGGCACAAGACTTGCGCGAACAGTCGGCGCGCGGCTTTTGTCGAGGCTTCTGTCGAATTTCTTTTCTGAAGTTCCCGAGCCCTTCGCACACACATCTGCAGCGTCGGCTTTAGCCTGCATGTCAATTTCTGCATATACTTGGTCTGTAATCCACTTCCATCCTCTTGCTGGGGCTTCCTTCCCTGCCTTGTGCTTGAGACTTGCCTGTTTGAGAAGATCTCGGCGTGCTGCGGCAGCAACGACACGCGCCCGATTTACAAATGAACTGGCTTGTTTGGCGTCAGCTACTGTCGCGATGACTCCACTTGATTTGTGTCCACCGCAGTTTGTTGTAAAAACATGACCAAGCTAGCACGGGCGGTCGCCTGGGCGGAACGTTCAGGCCGTGTGCCTTTGTGGTGATCGTGTCTTTTGTCCGCAGCATGGTCCTCTCGTACATCATTCTGACAGTAGCATATCTGAAAAGATAAGATAGCATTAAGAATCTTTCACACCGCCAGCATTACACTGTTTTCGTACCGTCGTTCAAGAAACATGGCTGACGCTGGCGTCAGTGTTCATCAAATATACAACGAAAGGCGTCGATAACGTCGGAACATCCGAAACTGGGAGCATTGCACTGGAAAAGCCGATGCCATCAACTTTGTGAGAATGTTGACAAGGTGAGCCACAGGTTTTTGTATCCCCTGCCTCTACAATACATTTAATTTTCCTCCACACAAATGCCGACTGTGCGTGTGCATTCCTCGCCTACGTCCTCACTCCTATCGACTGCACCGTGAATCGCGTTTTCCAAAAACTCTACATTCGCATCTCCCCCCATCTCATATTTCACATCGTTTCCTTTGTTCTTCCATCAACCCACTACATAAGGCACTTTAATAAATTTTCGGCTTCAACGGTGATGACGATGCCTTCGTTGCTTTTGACCCTGCCTACCAGAGATCCGGGCTTCTTTCCTGCTGGACAATACCGTCCTAGCCGCCATGGAGAAAAAAAGGTGGTCGAATCAAACGCGGTCGGGCTATCATGTCGTCACCCTTGCCGCCGACGAAGGCATTCTGTGCCTTGCCCTCGGCGTCGTTTGTGGTGCATCTCCAGGCGGCTTACGTGGCGGCCAAACAATGGCACGATTTCCATTGGTAAAGGTATAGCCCAAGCTTTGAAAGATGGGCCGTGGCCATCTGTCCTTGCTCTAAGAACAGGCGGGGGAAAGACGCTAAGCCGTGCGGGTAACCGCTCCCACTCCATCTACACACAGCAGCAGCAGCAGCTGGAGATGGTGGAGATGGCCACCATTGCAGCAGTGTGGGAGGGTGGAGTCACAGAAAACGGCCGAAAGGTCGTGTGCCCATAGCCGCGACAAAAGGGGCGTAGGGGGGCGCAACAGTTAGAGAACACGGCGGAATGGCCTTTTGCCTATAGCCGCGATGTACGGGGCTCGGGAGGGCAACAATAAATGCAGCCCCATGGCGCGTCGGACGCGGCGTGGGGGGAGGCAACATACAATGTGGTGCTAAAACGGGAACTCCTTTCCTGACGAGGCTGTACGCCGGAAGGAGCGCTGGGAGGGGAGCAACTTGCATCACACAGTGCTTCGAAATGCACGTCTTTCTTTACGGTATTTGGTGTTTGACGGTATTCGTAGCGAAGTTGGTTTCCTCGTTGGTTGTTATGAGTGCACTTTGGTTGAAGAACCAGGGAGGGTGTTCGGTGTTTCTCGGAGATGTTCGCGTCAAAATGTTCAGTATTTTCCTGCTAACTCTTCGGTTGAGACCCTTATTGATTGCGGCTGAGGTTGTGCCGTTCTCTAGGTTTGCGAAAATGTGTAGGAAGATGGGATATTGATGGAATCGCTGAAGGGACGTATGAGGAAATCGTGACACCAGTGTTGTACTTCCTCGAGAATGTAGGGTTGTCGAAAAATACATGCAGGTAATGCTTCGCTCAGCAAATGTTGGATAATTGCCTCTTCTCCCGGTGCGTTGAGTTACGCCAGCGAGCGGGGGACGATTTCGATGTTTGTCCGATGTTTTTTTGAAGTACAGACAGCGGTGCAGCCGCATGGTAGCTCTTTGAACCAACTCCTCAGTATGGTCTCATGCTATTGCTTACCAAGAGTTGGGATTGGCCATTGTTGGAAACAGGGTTATGATCTTGGTACTTCATGCAGGAAGAATATGATAGCACGCCGCCCACGTTTCTCTAGAAGTAAATTTCGAGCGTGGGCTCTGGCGCGACTGGAAGTATGCATGTCTTGATCTTGCCCTAGCAGCCGTTACAGCGTTTGGTTGAATGGTGAATATTTGTGGGGGATTTTGATCCGGAGGCAGGATTTCTCCTCCTGCATTGTTTTCTTCCGCGTTGGGAATGTTCGCGCGTTTTTGCGGCTACATCCGGCGTGTACATGCACACCAGTGGTTAGTTACTTGCGTTAGGAACCAGGGAGGGTGTTGGTGTGTACATTGGTGGGTTTGGATATTCCGACAGAACTGTGTTAGGGGGTATCGCAGATAGGAACTGACAGTACCGTGGGTTGGGTTTATTGTTGATTTACAGGGCCCAGGTCTCTGGGAGTGCTCGCTGCGTGCTCACTCTCTCTCCCGCTGCCTTGTCTCAGAGTCTTGATCTCGTCCGTTGTCCTTAATACAAGTGACACAAGCATCTTCAACACACACAAGGGTATACGAACAAGTATATATGTTCTCTATGGGTTTAATCCGTTGCCGATGCACACACGATCACACAAAATTGTTTGTCAAGGCAGGATAGAACCCTGACGGACGCAAAAATAGAGCAGTACATCAATTTCGCCCCGGCATGTGGCATCGAAGACAAACGCGTAGCGAGCCGGGGGACAGATGAAGGCAGCTAGGTCCCTGAGCTCACCTGATGTGTTGGTTGACTCCAGGTCCAACAGCTCCTTCGCCATTGTCCCCACGTACGGGAATAGGCTGATGGATGTGTAGGAGTGTACCACCGCACAGAGCGCCAGCACAACGATGGTGCGAATGGGAAAGGTCGAGACATTTCCGCTGCCTGGCCCAGGGGCACTGGGTATTGCTTCCATCCTGTGTTTGGACTTCTGTCCGGGTGGCCTCCTTGTCCGATCCCTGTCCTGCTACGATGCGGAAGAAGGGACACTATTGATTAGAAGGTCACCCAACAAAGGATAATGACGCTAGCATGGGAGAACGAGAGATGGTGCAGCAACAATGCTGTCTGAGACTATTGAGGCTTCTCCTTGTATAGAGGCGGTTAGGGTTTCCCGAGGCGATGCCTGCTACCCGTTGGGGGTAGACTATTATTATTCTCCGACAAGGGCGACCGACGGTGACGATCGACGGAGCGATGGCGGCGCGATCGATGAAGAACGCGGCCCAAGGCCGCCCGATCGACCAACCTAAAGACCGACCCAACCCAACACAACCCAACCCTATCCTACCCTACCCAACGGCGATGAACGACGAAGCGACGGCGACGCAATCGACGGCGGCGACCCAACCCCAACCCAACCCCAACCCAACCCCAACTCAACCCAACCCGACACGGTCGCGTAAAGACGAACCCAACAGGGTTGGGTGAAGATGGACCCAACACCAGGAGCAAGAAACAACCCCCAAAACCCGCCTGATCCCCAAGTGAACCGATGCAACATGCAGGGTAACACATGTATCCAACACGGCCTAATCAAGACCTCTCCTAAAGAAAGAACCATACACCAACGCGCAATAGCACTCCACCACAAAAATGTAGATAGAGGCGATGCGCAGGAGCCGAGCGACCACGAAGAAGTCCGTACGAACCAGGCCGCCCGATCGACCGACCGACCGAAAGACCGACCCAATCCAACCCATCACGGCGAGGCGGCGACGTGACCAGCGACGGCGCGGCCCAAGGCCACCCGATCGATCGACCGACCAACCGACCGACAACCCTACTCTACCCTACCCAACCCCAACCCGAACCCGAACCCCAACCCCAACCCCAACCCCAACCCAAGCCAAAAACAAAACCAGCCCCAACCCGACCGACCGACCGACCGACCGACCGACCGACCGACCGACCCAACCCACCCTAACCCCAATCCAACCGAATCCAACCCGACCCCAAATCCCCAACCCTATGGACAGGCCCCCACTCCGACCCCAACACACAACTCGACCAACCGACCGGCCAAACCCGCCCTGCCCTACCCAACCAAAACCAAAATCAAACCACAACAACAACCACAACCACGACAACACATCTCGCCCAACCTCAACCCAAGACTCCAGCCCAACCCCAACCCAGCCCAACTCAACCCATCCCGACACAGTCGGGTGAAGACGAGCCCTGCTACCACACAAGAGCATGAACAGAAAAAAAAAATCCGTGAACTTAGCCGAACTACGGCAAGTGTAGACTCGTACTTGCTCGCACTCCTCGCGCCGCTCCCGACAGAATACGACGGCGCACCCCCGGTGGCGTGAGACGATGGATTGTCGCCCAGTGCCGCCCAGGCGCTGGTGGAGGGAATGGAACTCGATCAGCGTCCACTGGCAGGTCTGCAAGCACAGAGGAGCCCGTTACCCGTTACGACGCGCCCACACAGCAATCTCTTCCAACGTTTAGAACAGTCTCGCGCTGACAACGGCGCGCGGACGGTTACAGAGCCCAAGAAGAGGCCTACCTTCAAACCTGTAGAACCAAGTATCCCCAAAAGGCACATCGCTCGCCGCAGAATGGGCACGCCACGGCAGTAACGGGATGAAGATTTGCAAAGCCAGACGGACCGATCTTTCTTCCCGATGAAATCTCCTCGTGCTATCACGTAGGAACAGCGCATCCTCGATTCTTCTTTTGTGAGGCTAAAAAGTAGCCTCGCCAGGTCAGGTCTGCCGTTCTTGTCACGGATGTGTGATTTCGATCTACCTATCTATGATGCGCGAGACGTGTGCTGCATGCAGGGGCCGAGATCTATCAAATAGTTTAGTCAGCTTCTTTTCTAGGCGCGAAAGAACGGATCTATCCAGACATCGATCATGTCTTCGTACCACTGAATAACTTTTCAACACGATGAACAGCGCATCCTACACTAACTTTTTCCTTTATTCGTAGCCAGAACCGGTCTAGCCGGGGCCGCTGTTGTTACAGCTGTGCGATTTCTTTTTATCTATCCTATTTAGTGGCAGGCATGTGCTGTGTAGTTTGGCAGCAGGTATGCTGCTGCTGCTGCTGCTCAGTACATGCCAGCAACCACGCCTGCACAGCAGCAGTATGCATGGACATTTCGCCCTTGAAACAGAGAACTTACACACAAAGTGTTTTCAGGGTATGCAAACAGCATGCTTCAGAACACACAGTACCCTGCGGCACGATTCAGTTTGTGTCAGCGAAATTCTCAGACCTATATTAGACTTTGACCCCAGGTTTTTGGCCCAGGTCGCGCCGCATCCTGGTTTTGTCACTGGGTTAACATGTTGAGTTGGCGATGTCCGGTTTCTTCTCTACAAGCGAGTTTTTCTTGTTCGTCGATGTTCTCGAGATTGCAACGACAGATTTTCGAGTGAGGTTCAACATGTGTGCCACCTGCCCCCACCCGGCCCTCCTGCAAGCTTGGCAGAAAACCTTCCCTCAGTTTTTGGGAAACGCGTCTCTCTTTTCTGTGACTCCTTCGTAGTTCGTAGATCTCCTCGGTGCTCGGCAGCTCTGTGCTCGGTGCCAGGGTGCCAGGCAGCGTTCTCTTTATGGGGCGCGCTGGCGCGGCCCCGTGTTTTTTTTGGAGACATGGAAACTCACGCCCCGGGGGCCCGGGTGCGGCTTTCCGCGCCTCAAAAAAATCCGCCACGCTTTTGTTCGCCGCAGGCGAAAAAAAAGTTTTTGCACCCTTCTTTCTCTCGCCGAAGGCAAGAAAAAAAGTTGGAGGCTGTTTTTCGTCCGATCTCTCGCTATCGCTGGAAAATGAGGCGTATTCTGCCTCAAAACGGGTGAAAAACACAACAAGTGACCCTTTTGCGCTGTTTTTGAACGATTTTTTGCAAGAAATACGTCGAATTTCGTCCAAAATGTTTCCTGTGGCGGGCTGAAGTGCCGCGCCACGCCTTCGGCGTGGGGGCGCGGCAACCGCCAGTTGCCGCGCCTAGGGCCTGCGGCCCCAAGCGAAAACGCTGGTGCCAGGTGCCAGGTGCCAGGTGCCAGGTGCCAGGGTGCAGGGTGCAGGGTGCCAAATCCGAACCGAACCAACCGAACCGAACCGACTGGCCGAACCGACTCTAACCGACACACGAACTCGTTTTTTTCTAGAACCTTCACTATACTTCATTCACTGGACTTCGCGGTTCGCATTTCGCACCGGCATGCTCGTTGCCGCACATCACGATCAGTCCAACGCGTCTACGTATCACTTATTTCACAAGAGCCGGCATATGGATTTACAGTAGTGGCTCCGTTATAAGAGGGTACCTTACAAGAGGGGGCTCCGATACAAGAGGGTCGAAATCGGTTGTCACGGACTCGACTCGCTTATAGTATACTGTAGGCTGACCCTCTTAAAATGAGCCGCGGTGCGCGAAGCGCGACCTTTTTTGCTCTTCATTCCCAGGAGGGAAAAAAATGCTCTCAATATCGGGCTCTTTCAACCACCGCGCTGTAGAGCGACCCTTCCGCAAAAAAAACGGGTATTGAGCCGCGGAGCGCTAAGCGCGACATTTTTTCCGTTCATCCCCAGGAGGGGAAAAAAGGCTCTAAATATCGGGCTCCTTCAAACATCGCGCTGTAGAGCGACCCTTCCGCAACCCCCCCCCGGGAATCGTATGCCAAAATATTATCCCTCTTTTCGACGAGAACGAGGTCTATAGAGTGTTCGTGGGTCTACGGACATGGTTTGGATATGTTAGCCGTACGTACAAGTGTGACGCAGATGGTGTAGAACCTTTTAGGTAGGGGTACGGTGATGATGCACCGGGGCCCCCTTTTGTTGTGTGCAGCAGCCCTGCTGCCACTCCTCCTTTCCGAGCACGACAGCGCCCTGGGTACGGGCGTTGCCTCACCGTCTGAAGTTAATACACTACACAAACAATACCCGATGAGTACGCGGAGTACGGCCGACAAACACTCTAGAGTTTAGATTCTTTGTCCCTCGAGGGATAGCCGCATCGGGAGATGGCTGTGTCGGACAGCGGTTCGGTCGAAGGGCTGGGGGAAGAGACCTCAGCCATGCAACAGCAACACGCCGAGGACCCGGCGATTGCGAGACTGGAGGGCCAGTTATCGCAGCTGATGAGCATAGTAATGGAGCTTAAGAGGAAGGAGCCTGGCGACGCCGTGGCGGGCGATGCCAGTAGGGGCGGCGGTGCTGCCGTCCCAAGCCAGAGAGAGTCCTTGCCGTCAGAGGGCGGCGGGGCATTTTCCCGGGAAGCGGCCCGTGATGGGCCAAATCACCCGCGGGAAAGCCGCTGGGACAACATACCGGGAGCGAGTCCTGGGGTTCCAGCGAGAGTGGGGCCTGGCGTAGGAGCTGACCGCGGGGAAGCGAGGGGGTTAAACCCCCCAGGTGAGATACCCGCAACTCGTGGTAACGGTGATTACATCGATAGCTTCAATCACTCGAAGAAAGTGAACGTGGTGGCCCCTCGCCTTGAGGGGGGCCGCAGCAGCGGATTTAGCACGTGGCGAAAAGCTTTCATCCAGGCCGCTAAGACCGTGGAACTAGACGGTCAATTTATCGGGAGTACTGAGAGACATGCCCCCGTGGGCGACCCGAACATGCCCACCTCCACACTATACAACGACTTGCGCTACACTAGGAGCGAGGTCGCACGTGGGCTCGCCGCGTTCCACTTCATCACTACCACCGTGGTGAAAGAAACCGACAAAGCGGTCGTCAGTAGTTGTGTGACGGCGAAGGGGGTTCTCACGGAGCTTGAAAAAGTTTACGACCCCGAGTCGCAGGGATCCAAACAAGCC